ACAGATATCTGCAACTACTGTGACAAGGCTATTCAAACTACTCAGCATCTAATACTCCTCTGCTCATGTTTCAAGAGAAGGAGAAAGAAAGAGTTTAATGGTATAATTCCATTAACACTTCAAGTATTATTCAATACCACAGATGGTAAGAATGTACTAGTCAGATATCTCTCATCATCCAACTGCCTTTCAGGGGGCATGGAGAAGAGGGAAAGAAAATATAGAGTTACACTTGTTTCGGAAGAAACTACAAACAGAAACCATTGATTAGCCTGATTGAATGATATATATTTGAGAAGAGTGGACTAGGGTTAAAATAAATAAAATTTGCAAAATAAATGTTTCAATTTGTAAGATTTCACAGCAAAATTATGCGAAAGTCACGAGATTGTATGTAACTGAGCCAAATCGAGAAGGCAATTAATCATTAAAAGAACTCACTGATTCATTATTCTATTCTGCTACGAGAGTCTGATTTTAATACCCCTCTCTGTGATCCCTTGTCACTTCCAACAAGTGCATGAGGCTATTCTAGTATCTTCTTCAATGCCCTCATGTGCGCAATTGGTAAATACCATATCCCTGTTATTTATCTGCATCTTGCCTATGAACTGTACCCCAGCATGATAGATTTACATCCGCTTACACAATTTATGTAAATAGTGTCATAGCTAGATAGTCTGAATACACTTAATGATTTAAAAAAAATCTCCACTAACAGCGAATCCGCCGCAATTTCGGGTGTAGAGTCTCTCGCGACCTCTACAGGCGTCAATATGGACACTTGAAAGATAGTAGGGCTTTATTTAAACAAGGTCAGAGGCAGACTGGTAATAGCAGGCACTAACAAATCTGCGACACCGATGGTGGAGATAGGTGAGGCACTTGATGCCTTTAAAGCTCACGCTACGAGGTTACAATCGAAGCTGAAGGCTTCACGAATAGAAAACGGATGCTGGCCCCAGACAATGCAGTCACGAAGAGTCTCTAGGGGCCGTCGCGCAAGACGGATGCTTCAGCAGTAAAAGGAATGCGACGGCGACCAATATACGCCTCAATTGTCGCACCGCCAGCGACTAAAGCGGCAGTACGGATAAGAATTCAAGGCGCAGACAACATGGAGCCGGCAGAGCTCCTAGACAAGGCGGAAATACACATTGAGAGTGCATACTTAGTAAGGAAGCTGCGGGGCAATGATACGGAGGTGTTTGTGCAGTCGGTCTCCCAGCGAGACAATGCCTTTAGTATGGCGCAGCTAAAGGAGTTCTGCGTCCTGAAGCAAAATTACCCTGTTGAAATTTTGGGGATCCACGTGGGGTCATTTATAAGAGGAGAAAATCCAAATAATGGTGAGTTTATGATTCAAATTGTGGCAGAAATAAAAGTTCGGATCCCCGAACTAAAAATCAAGAGGGTAAGATGGCTCTTCGACGGAAAGGAGAACCGATGGATGGGAACTATCGGCCATACTCGAGGATCAATCGTCGCGAGTTTGCCGACAGAGGCACATCGATGCGAAGTGATAAGAATTGGCATTGTATACAAGCCTATGCTATCCACGGCTCAGCTCTGGTCACCCCGAGCACAAGTCAAGCAGTACTTCAACTGCTGTCAATGGGGGCGTACCCAAGCCTCTTGCAATAAGGCAAGGAAATGTGGTGAGTGCACGGGCACTCACCAGACCAGCAAATGCCCGAGGAAATCGGCACTTTTTTGTAACTGCGGCAAGAACCATAAATCGTGGCAGAAAGGGGTGTGTCAGAACTTCGCGGCATACAAGGTCAGCGTTTAACGGAAACGGTATGACCTACTGGAGAGAACTGTGGAATTCAGGAAAGAAGAAATAACAATAACGGCATATACAACAACTACTGCGGCAAAATCTACAGACGACCAAGGGTTCACACTGGTGTCCCACCAAAAGCCGGAGGTATTAAAGAGAGGGCCAGGACGCCCGCGCAAACAGCTCCTGGTCAATCCCCCACCACAAGTATTTGGACCATCGGGGTCAAGTTCAAGACCACAGTCGTCTCTTTTCAGCACGCGAGTGCAGGGAAAGGAAGGCGGGGTATAAAATAATTTTAGCTAGTCCTATCTCGGACTTAAGAGCAATTGTACTTCCTATAGATAACGAAGAATTATAGATGAAAAAATGAATTAATAATTCATTCATTTTATTGTCCTGTCCGAGTCTATGACTATGTAGGACATGCAGTTCCTCTCTGCCTACAGGCCAAGGATACCTATGCCAGTAGTATATCCCCTCCTATGCCTCCCATACAGCTCCCCTCGAACAGAACAACCCCTCACAAGCCCCCACTCGATCATACACTTAGAGGAGCCCTTTCCCCTTCATTATCTCCCCTCTCCAGCCAACGAAACGATGGCCTTTTGCGGGTGTATGGCAGCCGGGAAAAATCGCAAAAAAACCACTGGGTGCTGAGATCTCCTAATACCGACATTAGGACTAGATCCGAAGACATAGTGACCCTTCTAATGCGTTCGAAGAGCCCGGCAAGCTGGACACTGCAGACTTGTGGGTACCTCGGAGAATTCACCCTCTGCCTTTCTAGCCTCCTTCCAACTCCTTCCCGAAGGTCGTGCTGAAATGTCAGAAAAGTCTTGACAAAGTGTGTTCGCTGTACGGTAGCTTAACCCAACTTCTTTTGTGCCGTCCAGGGCGCTGGGGAGTGCCGTTGACTCATCGACAAAAGAAGCTCTCCTGGCTAATTAGCCGAAATCTCGGTCTTGGCGCCCACAAAACAATCAAAGTTGATAACCCCTCGAGAATGTCAGTCCCAGCATGGTCCTCAAAGACCTATTCCCCCTCTCGTTCCACATCTCAGCCGCCTGCCCTTCCTCAAGATGTACAACCCCATTAGAGAATTAGTCCCCCATAGACCAAGACCCCAACTTTGTATATTATGGCTTAATTTCCTACCTGCGGTTATACGTAGCGTCGTAAATTTGTAGTGAGTGATGGCCAGTGATGAATGGGGAAAGCTCCTGTTGGCAATTGGGGTGACGCCTTTATCGGTCGGCGAGGCGAGATGATATGTGGTTAGATCGGAGTTGAGGACTCAGAAGATAATGGTGAGTGCTGCATGGTTGAGAAGTCGTCAATGGAGATATGCATGTGTTTGCTTTCGACTTCGATTCGGATGCGATTCTTCTTGACTATCCCAGATATGCAGTGCATACTGAGCGATTAGACCGGCACCACTGGAATGTGAAGAATTCGTCTTTGCAGGCTGAAAAAATGAAAATTAATAGGGGAAAGGGGTTTTCATCGTAATGGTTTCCCCCTCATGTAAATATATTGATAGGTTCATAGCCGCCTGCATGGGCCCCCAGCGCGCCAAATCGGGTTAAATGAATTTAAATTTAAATTCAATCGTATGGGTCACGTATTTACCTGACTGTTAAATGTTAACTGTCGGGCAAGAAGTCTGCGTGACATTTTGTGTCGAGGAAGATCCATATCACGTGACATTGACCTTCGGATATGATACAAGAGGCAGAAAGACAGATCACTCGCTCCGTTAGGGGCACTAGTAGAAGACATCAGTGTTGGCTCTACAGAGCTGGATCACTCGTGGAATATGAATGATGTTTATGAGATTGGAAATGTGTATTGTAATTTTGTTAAGTCCTTACTTTTTGCATCAGATTTGAATTGCGTATGCAGCTATCTAGCTATGACACAATATCAGAGAAAAGTACAGAATAGATGATTCAAAGTAAAGGAAGAGCAGTCATGCCTCAGATTTCATTTGCAAGTACCACTGCGAAGTTATGGCGGCTTTTTCTTCACCCCAATTCAACCCTCATCCGTGAATACCCACCCAGGCAAACGTCTCATAAACCCTGGGTTATCCAGACATGCCTCCATCATCTTTCAACTTTTCTCCGCGCGAAATATTGTCCTAGGTGTTTCCTTCCCAAGTGAAGTAGGTGCCCAGGCTACTCAGACTATACCAGAGAACACCACTTGTTAAGTCTTTATTAATATGACAATTGTTACTTCATTCCAACACAAATCATGTAAGACTTGAGTATGTCTAAGGGGCATAGAACTCCGCAACAATAGCTTTGCAATTTGTTTAGTAAATTTACAATGAATATTGGCAACCCTCCTCAGTACTTGACTTTGTGTTTCAATACAGTTTTGGTGGTAGTAAAGCGGGTTCGGAGACGTGGGAGGTCGAAAGTGCTCTATTGTTATTTCTCTACCACGCGTAAATACACGACTACCGCGCTACCAGTTCTAACTAAATAACCACAATACGTAACCCGCTACATCTCTGATGCCTTCACGACCTCTAGGAACCTTCGACTTGTTAGAAATAAAATCATAATGTAAAATAGACTATCACGATTAGAGATCCTCCTCTTTGTGGGATAGTCTCATTTTTCATTTAGTCAAGTGTGTACGCCGCAGTTGTGAGCTTGCAAGGGGTAATAATTGAAGTGACTTCTCGAATCTCACTAGATAAGTTCATTGCGAGCTACCTAAATCTTAAATAGCCACAGCGGGGACTTTCAATCCAGGGTTGAAGGTGATAGGAAACCACGAATGGGACAAGTATAACGATAAAAATTGAATTATAGGACTGAGGCCCATATATATTTTTACCGAAGGCCCATGCTGTGCTTGGTTTTTCTTACCAGTTTCCCGTGTGCTAATATAGAGTTAAACGATCCATAACACTCATTTTAAGGGACTGTTTGCTTCCGGAAGTTTGGCAACAAATATCTTGAAAATTTGCAACCCATTATCCCACCTCATCTCGAACGATACTAGCAATTAGGCCCACTGTAGGAAATTTCAAAGTGGACCGTACTGATTAGATAAGAGGAAGCGAGTCTCATCTTGCGTAGGTAGCAAGTTGACAAAAATGTAGGCCAAGGTGAGTCAAAATTGTTGGCTCAATCTGACCAAACACGTTTTTTCCCGAACTAGGGACCCATCAGAAAATATGGGGAGATTTATTAGGCATTCAAGGACATTCGAGAGGATCCTCCATTGCTTGGTTCTCTGAGTCCACATTATGATAATCGAGAATTTCTGAGTACCTATGAGAATAAAAGTTAGTCAGTCTCTTTATTCTCTATTGCATCCTTGAAAACCCAGAAGACAAGGTGCGATCGATCTTTGGAAACGCACGATGCTCCTTCTTTGTTTCAAGGGACTCCTTCGATGTTATGCTCATAAAGTTGCTCGTACATCATAATTTTCCACGTATCCACTGGGAGGTCTGCGTCGTTGAAGGACCAGTCAAATTTTTCTTGTGAAATAGGTTCATCGGTCGGATCATGGTATGGAGCAAGGTACTCATGCGCAAGAGCATCGGTGGCCTTGATACGTCTGCGGGGATCGAATACTAGCATCTCTTCGAGGAGACTGATAGCTACATTTCTGTTAAAACTTAATTGCAGGATTACGAGTCATTTTACAAACCAAGTGGATCAGCGTTCGTAAACTTATCCTTAAGTGGCTGTCTCACACGCTTTGGCAGAGACTGGACAAATCTTAGAGTCTAGGCTGAGTTAGTAATCGATGGAGTTCATATCTGTGATAAATATCTACATTTTCACTTGCAATCGTATGAATAACATCGTCTGGTGGAGTTCCCAAAAGTTCAGTTATGATGGAGAATTGATTGACGTGATCTTTTCCGGGAAACAAAGGCTTGCCCTCTAACATCTCAGCAAAAATACACCCAGCACTCCATATATCAACTTCCACATCGTATTTTTGCCATGTGAGCATAATTTCAGGTGCTCTGTAATATCTAGTGGACACATATCCGGTCATCTGAGGATCTTGAATTCGAGCTAAGCCAAAGTCGCAGATTTTGAGATCGCAGTTTTCGTTGACGAGGATGTTGCTTGGTTTGAGATCACGATGGACGACACCAGCAGAATGTACATACTTGAGTCCTCGCTATCGTGAGTTAATTAGAAAAAAATCTGTCCAGACGATCTATTTTTGGCAACTTACCAAAATTTGGTAAAGAAAATATTGAATGAATTGTTTTTCGAGCGGTCTTGATGTTAGCAAACGATGAAGATCAGTACCTAAGAGTTCGGTGACAAAATAGCTGGCATCTATTAGAGAGGTAAATTTGAAGAGTCTGCCTTCTCACATATCTTCCAGAGGGGATATAAATATATCACTAAGGGAGATAACCTGCAAATCTTAGCCTTCAGGTTGAGAGCCGGATAAATAGAATAAGATACGTTTTCATGTCTAAGGTGCTTTAGAAGCTTAAGCTCCCGATATGTTCTCTTCGATAGGACAGGCGTGCTAAATGGCTTCATAATTTTCTTAACTGCGACATTCTGGCCGGTAAGGTTATCTTTCGCCGAGCTAAGGCGAATAGATCAGTACAACAGTCGAAATATTCGTCAAGGAATTTTGATTATTACGGACCATACGAGACCGAACGCGCCCATTCCAACAGGCTGGAGATCAGAGTATCTGTGCTTGAAGTTAATGAAATGCGTCACAGAAAGCAGCTGGGATGTACCCCGCTGACATACCTCGAGGTAATCTCAAAGGTTGTCCCAAAAATCTGAGCTCGTACGAATTCAGCCATGGTGACGAAATATTTCTGCGATTTAAATGACTATCCGATGTTAGGATGATGGTGAAGAGAATAATTGTAAGACCGTCGGATCGTCAGATTGTGCTCCCTTCCTGCGTTTCGTTTCTTGTGCTATAGCCAGGGATCAACGATGATCAAGCCACAGCACGAGTGACATCTGTGAGTCGAAAAAGATTCGATAAAAATAAGAGATAATGGAATTAAATTTAAAATTAGGAAATAATACATGTGTAAAGGATAAATTGGTCGTCATCGGATTTGTGCATGCCTTGCGTATGCTTCAGGTATGACATGATGACAATGAAAATACGGAAAACAAGTTAAAAAAACAAGTCATTTAGAGGATGCGTACTGATGAAATTATTTGAGCAGAAACAGTTACTGGGCACTATAGGATATTTGCTAATATTTCTTCGAGGTTGTATTCTTTGTATTCCTCGAGTCTCAAGACCTAAAGTGGTTGTATGTAAAGCGATTTGGCTACCAAATGAATATGTTATGGATTAGTCTCGTCGAGAATGAGTAAACTGTCTCACGCCCACATCTCAAGTTATTTTTTAATGAAATAAATTTTTGATAGTCAATTACATTTGGAGGTGTTATATATGTCACCGGCTTGGCGTTATACAAGTCCAACGGTCATATACTCGAGAAACCCTGTTACAGAGCAGCACGAACCTCCAACACAAAGCAGAAAGTGTCGATATACACCCTATCTGCATGCTATAATGTTCGAATTTGGTGGACCCTGTAAGTAAGAGACTCCTTTTCAGTGTAACCATCCGAGATGTTCTTAACTCCAGCGTCCCTGGCTGCCCGTGGAGAGTTTGTGTTTTTTAAAAGGCTTTAACTCAAATTATAAAAATAAATACTTTAGATGTTTGCTCCAACCTCAAGTAGTGATAATCATAGTTGACGGTTCACATTTTAATTCCTAGGAGTCGAGTATCCACTAGCAATCATCCCGGCTAAATATATTTTTTCCGCTGGCAAGTATGACACCAATTAATGTTGGAATGTAAAGCTAATTTGGAAGGGATTATTTGCTTCACTTAATAATATGATGTTACACTAAGTTCTCATGAAAAAGATCAGTCTGAATAATTAAATCGACACTGATTATTTACTCAGTTCCAAGTCCAGAGCCTACAGATAACCTGTTTAAATGTAGGACCAGTAGTGATGGCCGAGATTTAACCTTGAACCTGCCTTAACCTTTTTCTTTTTTTGTATCAGATTTTAGATGCGTATGCAGCTATCTAGCTGTAACACAATATCAGAGATAAATTGCAGAATAGATGACACAATATGAAAATAGAGAACTCATACCTCGGATTTGATTTGCAAGTATGAACGCGAAGTTGTAGTGGCTTTTTCTTCACCCAAAGTCAGCCCTCGTCCGTAAATACTCCTCAAGGGAAACATCTCAAACCCCCTGAGTTATCCAGATATGCCTCTATAATCCAGTTACTCGTCTCCGCGCGAATCGCCATTTTAGGTTTCTTCTTCACAAGTGAAGTAGGTGACCAGACTACTCAAACTATATCCCGGATAACACCACCTGGAGGCGGACAATACTCTTCAAAATATGAATCTGTCTGTCCAAATTCAAAATCTCACACCCGTTAGGATTTTGTCCTTCCTTTGCATCATCTTACAAACATGTCCCAGTTTCTCTCAAATCCATCCCAAAGAATCTCCTCCCAAATTTGTGCGCCATAAATTTTGTTCTCCTACTGGGATTCAAATTGTCATTGATTTATGTTTAGTGACCAGCCGAGGCTCGAGAATAGTCAATGAGAGGTGCGGTAACTAGAATGAAGTTGTACTAGGTCGAACTTATAGACTTTATGTTGGGAATTAGAATAATTGGAGCTATCAAGTAGGCTAGGTTGTTGATACACACGTGACTACAAATTTTGTACTTAGTTTCACTTCGGTAGTATCTTGAATCAATGCGCTCTACAACCTCAATGACTGAGGGGTCATTATTTCCTTAATACTTTGTGAGAATTAGGTAGGAGTTGATCTCACTGGGTATGAAAATATGGCATGGCGGAGTAATTTGAATCAATGTCTCGTGGGCCAACATGTTTGGTATTACGAGATGTGACTGAACTTGGCTCTAAGAGAATATTTCACTCCCAGGTTCGTGAAGGTCATCACATACAGGTGTTCAATCTTTTCCCTCCACCTGCCCAACTCGTTCACACCAATTATAAAGCTAACAAATCTTAAGCTCATTAAAGAAGTAGGATAGAAGACAAAGAAATTCAATGTATTAGATAAATTAAAAATAGTGTTTAGTTAGCATTCCTCATCACAAGCTCTCCATCGCCATAGACCCTCACTGTCCATGAGAAAATAGTTAAAAATTGTAAAATTGGAAAGGAAATAATGTAGCTAGGATCTTATATATAGATTCTAGGAGTCCTCTATAGTCATTGACTCAGTTAGGACTGTAATATAAATCTAATCTAATCTAATCTCCATCGCCAGCGTAATAGTCCTGTCATTTATCCAATAATCAAACCTGTCCTTGTACTCTGAAGAGAGCTAGTATGGCCCTGCCAGCCGAAGAAGCCTGTGGCCTGTGCAAAATTTAAACTTTTCTAACCCATTGACTCCGAGTCGTTACTTAGTAAAAACTCCTAAACACATGTCCCCTGAAAGCTTTCGCATCAGTATATTGTACCCCCGACAGCATATAGAGTGAGTGGAGGGCAATACTGAACCCCCTTACGCGCTATCCTCTACGAATCTGGGAGTGAAATATTCTCCCAGAGCTAAGTTCAGTCAAATTTCGCAATATCAAAGAAGTTGGCCCTCGAGGCATTGATTCAATCTACTCCTCCACGTCGTTTTTTCGCTCCCAACGAGTTCGACTCCAACCTAAGCCTCATCAAGTCTGCAAGTACGACCAAGTACATCCTCATCCCAATAACCACACCTCTCGTCGACTTTCTCTGGCCTCAGTTGACCACAAAATACACGTCCACGCCGATATTTACACCCGACGGAGAAAGTAATGCGTGGAGCACAAATCTGGGAGATAGCTCTTTGGGATGGACGTGAGAGGGATAGGGATCAGGATAAGTTTACAAGATGATGCAAAGGAAGGATACAAACTCGACGGGCGTGTCATTTTGAATTTTGGCAAGAGTTTTACGAATCGAGCTTTGTGCGCGCCAAGACTTCGCTTGCGAGAGTGCAGCTGACACTATAAAAACAAGCAAACGATGGAAGGTGTTGTGATCCGACTCCTGGTGGTGTTCTCTGGTATGGTTTGAGTAGCCTGGGCACCTACTCCAATTGGGAAGGAGACACTTAAGACCATATTTCGCGCGGAGAAGAGTTAATGAATGATGGAGGCATGTTTGGATGACTCAGGGTAAATTAGACGCTCCACTGGGTGGGTATTCACGGATGAGGGTTGAATTGGGGTGAATAAAAAGCCGCCATAACTTCGCAGTGGTACTTGCAAATGAAATCTGAGGCATGACTGCTCCTCTTGTAAATTGAGTCATCTTTTCTGTAATTTTCTTTGATATTGTGTCATAGCTAGATAGCTGCATACGCAATTAAAATCTGATGCAAAAAAAAAATCGTGGTTAGATAGTGCGATAGTATGTAGTCCGGGACAGCCTCTCAAGAATGGTCTACATAGCTTAAATACTAACCCCGCCAAAAAAATGAGATTGCTGGTCGGAATCCAGTGATAATTAGTCACGCTTATCATAGTGCTGGTATGCATGAATGACGATAGCCTAGATGGATGATCAAAGCTTTTGAAACTTCCCTTTAATGGGTACCCACGAACAGGGGCCACCTGTTTCGTAAAGACTGACACATCCCGTATTGAAATTTGCAGTTGAGATATGAAGCATTTCTTCAGTCAAGAGTCATCTAACATGTATATGTAGAACTTATCGTGTCATAGCTTGATATTTGAAAAAATTTCGAATAACCTAAAAGAGTGCTAATTGGCAGTCTCCACACTCCTTAGGGAGCTTTGGAAAGAATTTGTCCGCGCTGGATCGGTTTAAATACTATTGACTGCATAAACCTCGTTTTATCTGATTTCCTGTGCCATCTCAGAATTCGCCTATGTGTTGAGTCATGCAAAGTCTGATTGTCAAAAGAATCCAAAATGTAGTCACTGGAGAACAAGTTACTCTCGGCGACGACACGCCTGAGCAATGAACACCATTAAGTTTTTTTGATGTTATCCTTCTGTTCAATTCTAGCATCTTCTTGTCTCATCTAGTCGCACACCGAAGTACCTCACTTTTTTCCTTTATCTCCTCCTCTCTAGCAACCTTAATATTCCCTCCATATCGCCATCTCAAAAGCCTTGTGAATTGTCCATCTCTCAAGTATTACCCATAACTTTTGTACTGCTATGCTCGGATACCTAATTAGCCTCGAAGAACTAGACACTCAGGCACTAATCTTCGGCTTTTGTTGAATGTTCAGTTTGATGTGCCAACGGAATTTTGTCCAAGTTTCCATGTGGCATTTCGTCGCAGGTGAAATTTGTGGTGCCATTGACGGATTTATAGATGAGTATAGGTAGAGAACTTGTCACATACCTCTACGGTACGCGGTAGTTGCGAGATTGTGTATCCTCTTACATCATTAACGGAAATTATGTTTTTCGTATTTGATAGATTACTTGGGTTGATGGTAACATGATTGTGGAGAGGTCTGAAGGACAAGCTGAGCTGGAAAAGTTACTCCTGAATACGTTGAGGGATCCAAGGTTGTCAATAACTTTGGTAGAAGCATAAGAAAGGGTTGAGTCTCTCTAAGGTTGGCTTTGGGGGTGAAAGTAATTGATTTCGGTTAGTTTTATAGTTATAAGTCTCTGCAGGTCTGGTTCTCAACAAAAAACTAGTAGAAGCCACTCCTCACGACAGGACTTTTACAGAAAATTATTTCTCTCGCCATATGTTGTGACTGAATCTCCGCTCCGGGGAAACCTTGATCCCAAGCTCGAAGAGGAGACCGATATTAGGTGCTCAGAACTTGTAGTCTTTTTCCGTTTGGTTAAGACAACTTGAATGATAAGCTTTGGTGATAGCATGGCTATTAAATGTTCTTGTCTTGAAGTCTCTCTTGAAAGTACTCTAACTCGAAGGATATCAAAAAGTTAATGTTTGATTTTGTGCCACTAAGCTATAGATTAGCCCAGGTATGAAGACGACTTATTTAGTTCCTTGAGAAAATCATCGGATGATGTAGAAGATGCAAATTTTTGATGACTTGGGCACCTCGTTCACATTGGGTAATCAGCCAAGTATTTTGTAGCATGGTGAGTCTGCCAGCGCATCACGGATGAGGACAGCCACTTGGATATCATCCCTCAGAAATTCTTAATGGATAGTTGTCGCAGATTTTCTGTCCAAGAGATTGGTGGATCATCGGCCACTGACGGCTAATGAAACGACCTCTTTCCATACTGAGTGAATCTCACATGTTTGTTTAGGACGAAATGTGGCGTTGCAGAAATTAATTGTTTTTGTCGCATTATTGAAAGACGGAGATCAGGTCCGAAACGGGTGTGCAAAAAATGGTTGCCTTCGCTTACAGCCTTGCAAAATCTTGGGAGAAAGCTAACACCCAGATTGATCTTCGTCAGAAGCTTTCAGTACCCATGCGGCTGGTTCGCTCTTTCCTCAACCACTAGATTTTTTCGAATAAATCATTCCACGCACATGAAGATAGTCAAATAATTTTTAACGCGATAGAAGAGATAAAGTACTTTAGATGTGGGTACGATCTACTGATGCGGCCACAGAGGAAGAAAAAGGTGACGAATTAACACCAATTGACGAAGAGATTTGGATGGTGAATCAAGCTCGGAATGAAATTTTAGAATATCGCTCTTTACCTCTGGCAGATATAGCTCCTGCAAGGATACTTCCTCACGAAACCGACCGGCAAAGCATAGTTGAAGGGAGATCTCGAAGCTGCCGTAATAGTACGAATGGAAAAGATAAAAGTGGTCGAAATGCCAACTTAGATAAAAACTCCTACAAAGTATCGACATTGCTCATCACCTCCTCAAAACAAGCTACAGCACATGGTAAAATGTCCGAATCTCGCTATGACCTCCAAATCCGATCAAGGTATCAGACTTTGCGGTCTATATCGCTCCTCACTTTCATCACCACAGTTGCAGCCATAAGCTCTCTTGCCTCTATTATATATTCGTTCTCGACCAGACAAGTTGAAGGCAAAGGATGCAGAATGTCATACATGAGGCCTTCTTTCATTAAGTTCTCGGATTTCGACACAGAACATACTCGATTTGCTAGCAAATATTCATTGTATCTTTATAGAGAGGGCGGTGTGGATGAAAATAATAAGATAGGAGGTGTGCCAGTCATATTCGTACCCGGAAATGCTGGGAGCTATAAGCAGGTTCGTCCCATCGCAGCAGAGGCAGCCAATTATTTTTACGATATTGTACAGCATGAGGCTAGTGGAACTACCGCTGGGCTACGAAACTTGGACTTCTTTACTGTTGATTTTAACGAGGACATCACTGCTTTTCATGGCCAAACACTACTCGATCAAGCAGAGTATTTGAATGAAGCAATCGCATACATATTGTCGCTATATCATGATCCCAATAGATCAGAGCGTGATTCGAATCTACCTGATCCCACATCAGTCATTATACTTGGTCATTCAATGGGAGGGATCGTCGCTCGAACTATGCTGGTGATGCCTAACTATCAGGCTAATTCAATTAATACGATTATTACAATGTCAGCACCACATGCTCGTCCACCTGTATCTTTTGATAGCGAGATCGTCAAGACATATCAACGAATCAATAAATACTGGAGAGAAGCGTATTCTCAAAAATGGGCGAACAACAACCCACTATGGCATGTTACCTTGATATCCATAGCCGGAGGTGGACTTGACACTGTAGTTCCATCAGATTATACAAGCTTAGAGTCATTGGTACCAGATACCCATGGTTTCACAGTATATACTTCCTCAGTTCCAAACGTTTGGACTGGAATGGATCATCAAGCAATTCTTTGGTGCGATCAGTTTCGAAAAGTTGTCATACGTTCACTCTACGATATTGTTGATGTCAACAGGCCTACTCAAACAAAACCACGAGCAGATCGAATGAGAAGCTTCAAAAAATGGTTTCTGACTGGTATGGAAAATATAGCTGAAAAGACACTACCTCAGGAAAAAGCTTCTTACCTTCTCACGCTCGAAGATGACAATAATTCTGTTCTTGCTCAAGGGGAAAGATTGGTAGCTCGGAGTTTTGGTCAAAACCGTGCGCCGCGCACCAATTTAATGCCTATACCACCACAGGGCACACCTGGTGGAAAAAAATTTACACTATTGACTAATCGAAAGCTTGAGGCTAATAATTCGGAAAGCATTGAAGTTCTATTCTGCAGCATTTTCCCATTGAGTTCCGGAAAATCAACTTCCCAATTTATTAATAGCATGGACCTCTACGAAGATAGTCCTGGGTCAACTCGGCTAGCCTGCAAGAACGCTGCTTCTGATGTGATAGCCTTACCTCCATCAAACCAAGAAAGCAAAAGCCCATTTTATCTTGATGAAGAGGAAGAAGTCCAGCCATTTTCATTCTTACAGTATGATCTAGAAGATATTCTTGAACACCAGTTCGTTGCGGTCGTTGATAAATCCAGGAAATATATGAAAAGTTGGGTCATTGCCGAATTTAGTGACAATATTCAGTCGCATCAGATCCGGTCAGTTGAATTTCAAAAGCTTCTAACCCTTGGTTTAGAGTTGAAGCTACCTGCTCATCGGCCTATTGTAACCGAATTTCAAATTCCTGCGTTACGCTCAAGTTTGCTAGCATTTACTCTAAAAATGGGGCATCAAAGCTGTGGAAGCGAACCTAGACTATTTTCACCTCTTCTTCGACAATACATGTCTGAGCCATATGAATCGAAATACTTCGTTAATTTCAAAGAAGGAAATATAAATCTACATGGCGTTTCCCCATACATGCCACCTCCGCTGAAAGAAAGTAGAGCACATGACGGATTAACTTTCCAATTCTGGACTGATCCTACTTGCAACTCAAGTATTTGGATTTCTCTAAAGATTGACATTTTGGGTAGTATGGGAAAACTCTATATGCGTTACCGAACTGTTTTTGCGGCATTTCCCCTTCTCGTTGTGGCCCTTGTATTGAGGAAACAATTTAGAGTGTACGATGAAACCGGAATATTTATGACATTCTTTTCGAGCCTAGACCTTTGCCTACGTCAATCGTTTCCCCTTCTCTTACTGGCACTTACCCTCCTATCGCTGGTATTTTCGCAGATGAGCTCGTCACTCAATCAATCTACCCCTCCAAGATTTTGGGGCTGGAGCGGCAATACGACGACAACACCGATGAAATTTACTGTGAATGACCTTTTGATTGGCACCCAAGACCCATTTTTTTGGTTTATGGTTCCACTGATTGGACTAGTTTGTGTTGGGGTCTGTGTCGTAATAAATTTCATAACACTTTTTATCATCAACGTCATGAGTTTAGTCTATAGTTGGTGGAGCACAAAACCTGCATGGCTACGAAACGAGGAAAGAAAAAAGATTGGTACAGCAGCTTTTGTACCTTCAACTCTTAGAAGACGAATTATTACCACTAGTATTTTGTTAATCCTTGTCTCAACAGTTATTCCATACCAGTTTGCCTACCTAGTCGCATGTCTGGTTCAAATCGCAACATGTACGAAAGCCCACCGAATCTCCTGGGATACTCGCTTCGGAGCCGACCAGAACTTTTACAACTACGCCCACTCGATTTTGATACTTATGTTGTGGATTCTTCCGATTAATTTACCAATACTTGTTGTTTGGATTCACAATCTAGCGGTACACTGGCTAACACCATTTTCTTCACACCACAACCTACTGTCAATCATGCCGTTTATCATTCTGGTTGAGGCTCTGACAAGTGGGAAGATGGTCCCTCGAATAACCTCTCAAATCAGTCACCTTACAAGCTTTTTCTTTTTCTGTATTGCCATCTATGCAGCCGTCTATGGGATGATGTATGCTTACATGCTTCACTACTTGGTTAATTTCGTGGCCGCATGGCTAGTCATAATTCATTGTGCTGGCCTCAATACAACTTGGTCTCAGGTGAGATCAAGTGCGATAATAGTATCAGAAAGCATTGACCATTCCTGGAAACGGAGAAAAACACCGTGATGGAATAATATCACTAGACAACAAATCATTTCAACCCATCGGGCCATATAGTTTAATACGGTACAACAACCCACCAAATTCATTTCCTGGAGTGAAAGAAATTCAAGAAGAAAGTAGACGCTTTCTCACCCGAAGAGATGCCTCTATGGAGTTAATAGGCTTCTCATGGGCGTTATTTTAATGTGGGATAGTCCTCAAAAATATTACAGGACATTTTACTCATTTCTCATTTGCCATAGCACTCTTACTTTTAGACTGTATTACATTTAGAGTCTTAGGTATGGTATCCTTGTTGTCTAGATGTAGGCTATGAAGGAAATCTCAATGCCTCGACTTGTTTATCCATGTACACAATATATCTGGGTAATTTAAAAATGTATGCGCTTTCTGTAAAAAATGGAATACAATAATGGAACTTGTATATTTGTTGAGTATGAGAAAGGACTACTGCACTACTGGCCTTGCAAGCCCTAGATGTATATAGGCAGGCTGTCGTACCATGGAATCTTTTCAAATATACACGGGGTAAAAATTATTCAACCAAAACAAAGAGAAGTAATTTAGATCTGATTCTTGTATGAGTAATATTCATGAACAGGTGATAATAACTAAAATTAAACAAAAACAAAGTTTAATCCACTCAAGCCTGATATTAGGACGATGGCTGAGCAGCCATTATTGGTGTCCTTTACTAATCTGGGTGAAAAGGTCTCACAAAGCCGAGATTTAGTCATGACGTATAATCAAAACATTCAAATTTGATTCTCATGAAATATTGGCAGATCTATATATGAATTGTTGAAGAGTCAGCTATCAACCATTTCATCAAGTACTTGAACCTCAAGGTTAACTGGCATAAAATTGAGATATCTCTACTGAACTTTTAACTAATGAATAAAGGAACTTGTCGATCGCTAGTATACACGTGCACGCATGCGGAATGGGCCTCTCCATGATGTGATGATTCTTGTTCTACATTAACTTGCGGGCGTGTCTGCTATATGGGCGACACGGCATACCGTACTTAGTCATATGACTACTTAACTATCAACACAATGTGATCACTCTCCTGACTCAAGTACATCCCAAAATAGTGTTGCGACAGAACTGATTATTTAGATCCCTAAGTAGTATTTCATAGTCTTAGATGGATCGATTGATTTTTTTTCGTGACGGCCATAAACCTAGCACCCATTGAGCTTGACGCGGAGTAGGCTAATCCTTTCCCGACGACTATATGCGAAGATAGCTTATTTCGACATTTGGAAAACTCATGTAGTGGGTGCATTCACTGATACCACTCGAGACCTTGAATATCCACCAACGAGAAAACAGCAAAAAGTTTTAGCTAGCCTCTCATGCCTTTGCCATCCTTTATGCAGCCACCGTGCGAGGTATAGCCTTAAAACACTTCTCTTGTCGAGTGATATAGGCGTCAAGGCTATATAGACTCAAACTGCGGGAGATGAAGAATAGGGGGCAGACCACGGAACTTTTGATTGTTGATTTTTTTGCATCAGGTAGTGGTGTGTGTTTACGAATACTTGTGTATTAGACTATCTAGTACATTGGGCTCCATTCTAGCTCAGGCCACATCTTGTACATTGCTCCTTGCCTCTTATGTTCCTTGAAAGATTATTAATATATTACGCGTGATGAATAGCCACTATGCTCAGTGTTTGCCCGTGAAATTCGGCCACCTTTTCCATGGAGCCTTCTACCCCAAAAATATAAAATGGTAGCAGTGGAAACTGCGTGCGCGGGAAAAAGTCTCAAAAAACCTGCAGCCCCAGTCAGGCGAGGCCTAGACACCGGGACTACATGAGGTGCGCTCATTCTCTCATACCTCCCCTCTTTATAACATTCAAGGCCGACTTGATCCAATCCGCCATCTCAGTACTAGGTGCTGGGTGCGCTCCGGAAACTCATTGGATGGCTTTTCCTTCATGATTAAGAGAAGTGGGTGGATGATGAGTAGGGCTTCGACCCTAAAATCTGATCTGATCGTAGTTAGCTTCATGATAATGGTGTAGAGGGATGTGCTGAGGGATGAAGACGATACAGACTGGGAAAGCGATTGGGAATCCTCAAGGAAGTGAGGGCTTTACTACTCAATCTTGGCTCTGCAGACTCTACAGTGAGATCTGGAGGTTCGTAGGGGTCACCACTGGTAGGAGTTGAGAGTGGCCCCCCTTTTTGCATCAGATTTTTATCGACATTAAAGTTGTTGTCGATATTGTATATGTATGTCTGTTATCACAGACATTGGAAATAATTCATGAGATTGCTTAATGAGTGGCTAGATTTGATTCCGATATAATACTGTAGAAGACTTGTCCCAACTATCAGAGGGCTACAACGTCTTTATCTATCTACAGGTAAATTCCCCATATTCCAACCACGCTAGCCATACAGGACGTAGCATGTAAACCCTGATTCGTATCATCATTTTGGGGTTGAGGTTTACCGTGCATATGCTACTCGAGTCGCATGTCTGACTATCATGCAACACGCTTAGGTATCAATCTAACAACCCACACCAAAACCGAAACTACTCACAACCCTGATGATGACCCCATGAATAATTGTAACAGTAGCCTGCAACATAGCACAATTAGGCTAGACATCGTTGACCAGGACCTAATCCGAACAGATTTTAATTACATATGTAGCTACCTAGCTATGACAAAATATCAGAGAAAGAGTACAAAACAGATGACTCAATGTATAAGAAGAGCACTCATGCCTCACATTTCATTTGCAAGTACCACTGAGAAGTTGTGGTCGCTTTTTCTTCACCGCAAGTCAACCCTCATCCGTGAATCCTCACCCAGGAGAACGTCTCAAAAACCCAGAGTTATCCAGACACGCCTTCACTATCCACTGGATTCTCTCCGCGTGGAATATGATCTAAGGCGTCTCTTTTCCAAGTGGAGTAGGTGCCCAAACTACTCAAACTGCACCAGAGAACACCATTTTCCATCACTCTACACCATCTTGTAAATTTGTCCCGATTTCTCTCACGTCCATCCCAAAGAACTGCCTTCCAGATTTGCGCGCCATGCTTTGTTTCCTCCCGCGGATATTTGAGTCGTCGTGGGCATGTATTGGGTGGCAAGCTAAGTCAAGAGAAAGTCGAAGAGATACGTAGTCAGTAAATGAGGGTGTTCTAAGTCGTTCCTGAAAAGTTGATAAGGGTTTGGTGGGGATAGATCTCGTTGGGAGAAGAAATTGATTTCGTAGAGAGCCTTGGATAATTGTCTTGTGGGCCAAATCGTTCGGTATTGCGAAATTTGACTGAACTTGGCTCTGGGAGAATATTCCACTCTCAAGTTCGTAGAGGATACCACGTACAGGTGTTCAGTCTTGCCCTTCACATTCTTGGCTTATTGTGCTATTCCATCCATCTTGATTTATGCCTCCAAATGCGGTCTTATCGCAACCTTTCTTAATAATAGTCTTAGTTATCTTTTACAGCACAAAAATGCTCTAACTTTGACAAAGTCGAGAAAGTATTAATGTTTATTTCTAGTGTTCCTTAGGAACATGTGAAACTCATGATGTTGCCTATTTTTTTCTTCTTTTACACTCAAGGCACCCTAGACATAATACTCCTAAAACATTAGATTCATTACTAGATAAGTTCAGTGGAATTTGGTGCAGGTCTAATTAGCATTATATACTATTCCCTGTTATTACATCATTTAAATGTGCCGTGAACTCGTATATTTTTAGATACCCTTATGGGAACTGAATTTTTATTTAAATCAAAATTTATCATATCGAATTTGAATTTGATTTCATTATCCTGATTTGGCGCCCTATGGGCCCATGCAGGTGTCTATAGTCTATAATATTTACCCGGGAGGAAACCTTTATGGTGAAAACCTCCCACACCTTTCTATTTGTTGTCTATAGTTCTCACATATTTTCTTCAGGAAGCACAGTTACACTATAGTGCCATCCATGTAAACTAACCAGATCATCTCTATCCTCCCCCAGCATTATTTGACCTTTTCCTTTCCCTCAGCAGTATTTCGACCGCTTTTTTCATCTGGAATTGCTCTATCCAACCATGGTTTAGGATCCACTATGTTATCCTTTTTATATCTCCAGGATTGTTTATCATCGCTTCGTAGGATCGATCTTTGGCTTGTCTCCAGATCTCAGCTCTACCATTTGACCATTGGGGGCAGGACATAATCATGTGCTTTGGGTTCTGTGATTGGTAGCCGCATGGACAACCTGGACTTAATACTCCGGGTACGTTTCTTCTGTGTAAATACGAGTTAAGCCCCATGTGCTCACTTCGTATTCGCATTGCCAAACTGCTTTGGGCCCTTGTGAATTTATCATATCAATTTAAGTATTGCCCTAGTTTGTGGCACCAAGGCCCATACTTCGACGTAAGCTCATTTAGGGAGCTTACTCCCTAATAACGGGAGCATTTCCACACCCACTTGCTGTCTACCCACACTTAGCCTTCTGTTGGTACTTTTTCTCAGCGATGCTGATCATAGTTCTAATCTGGCGCTATATCGACACTGAGTCTTAATAAGACCAATTAAATTAAATCTGATCAATATTTCACTCTGCATAAACGCCAGCATGTAGCTAGTAGCTTGTTTAGCTGTGCAGTATATCGGGAAATAACTGAATCTTTCTGCCAATTTATCCGAATTAAATCGTAGTTGGATTTTTGTGGAGCAACGTCCCTAATACTTCATCAAGTAGATATTATCTGAATCAAGCTCATAACGGTAGTGGTTTTGGTTTAAATAAACCTTAATCCCCGAAATAGTTCCAATTTGTATTCTCTATTCAATATCATTACAAATTATTTGGGTTAAGGGTTTGATTTGCGGGACAATCAATCACCTGATTGAAGGATCATTAATTGGATTTTCAGATATGAAACTATTAATAGTTTTTTCAACATTTTGTCTTATCGTAGAAAGCCGAAATAATTTATATAGATTAAAGAGAAGTACATCAACAAAGACTCAAAGTTTGTATCGTTATAATTTAGTCGCCAATTTATTACTTGAGAAAAAAATGATGACGCGAGTTTTAGTGATGAGCCTATTGCTTAAAGGTGAAAGAGCTACAAGAATTATAAAAAGTACTATCGGACAAGAGGTCCAACAGTGACTTTTTGACTTTTTAATAAGGCTCCTTCGCGTTCAAGTTTCTGAGCTGCCTTGACCTCTCTTTTATGCTCTGCTTGAAAATTCTTAAGTCTTTTACCCGCACCATGTTTAATCTTTGAGATCATTTCCATAGCTTTTCCTTTTGTACAGCTACTGATTGTCAATGGTTCTTCGTTTACCCTAACTTTATTTATAAATTCAATCTGAGCTTGGGAAGCAGGGTTGTTCCTCCAATCCTGAAACCTGTTAATGATTTGTCGAGGAAATTTTTTATTCGCATATGTATCGGCAGCGTGCACTGCATTCTGGAAATCATCAGTGATAGCAATTGTTCGCTGATCTTTTCGTCTTATAATGTTATTGCCAATACGTATCATTTTCCTGACTTGGTTAACATGATACTGATCTTTTTCCTGATCTTGCTTTGAAACTTTCTCAAGTTTCAGAAAAGTTGATTCAGTTCCTTCCAACACATAACAATCCTTTCCTGTACATACCCAAGCGTTTGATGATAATTGTCTTATATGTTGTTCTTCAGTTGTGTCACTGATCAGGTCGAAAATGGACGAATAATCTTTAAACTTGACCTTCACTCCTTCAGGAGGGGTTGGAAGAGCGACTATTACCTTATTAAGCATCACCTTCATATCCTCAGGACCCGCCTCAGATAATACCTCTTTGGGGTCAAGACCAAACAATGTGGGCGTTGAAATAACACCTCTACTGAGATTGGCTACCATATCGATGATATGACAATTCTCTTTTGAAGGATATAGTCTCATACCCCGACCTATCATCTGAACTAATAAATTTCGAGATTTTGTCGGCCTTACCAGTAGTACGCAGTCAATATTAGGGATGTCTGTACCCTCTGTAAACACGCCGCAGTTGACTAGCACTGGAAATTCGCCTTTTTTAAAGCTATCAAGTCTAATGCTGCGCTCAGCTTTAGGTGTTTCACCGGTAATAAAACGAGCATCAATGCCATACTTGCGGAAAGTGTTTGTGAGTCCAAGAATATGTTCAACGTCGACGCAGAATACTAGGGTAGATTTTCTGTTCTTCGATTTTGTAAGCCAGGTGCGAACTGTAGTATCGTTAATCGCATCAGTATTGATAATCTTGGAGAGCTCCCCCGTCTTGTAGTCGCCACTAGCGCCTGACTTTACTGTCGAAATATCAGCTGGAATAGTCACTGTGGTAAAGATGACTGATGAAAGCCATTTTTCACCAATCATGTCAATATAATCTTTGTGATAGACGATCTGATCAATTGCGCTTGCTAATTGAAGTCCATCAAATCGTGATAACGTCGCAGAAACGCCGACAAGAGCTGGCGCATCTGATATCATATTTTTTAATCCAAAATGGTCAAGCGCCTTCATATATCCAGGCGCAGCAATATGATGTGCCTCATCGACAAGGAAAAGCTTAAATCGACTTGGGTCAAATTTTTGTATACGGATTCCAGACGTTAAACTTTGGACGCTTGCAACTGTAATATCTGCCAGTCCAGTAGCATGCATTGAGCCCATTTCAATCTCAACCGTTTTCGTAGGGTAAGCATTTGAGCAATGTCTAGCAGCCTGTTCTACTAGTTCTTGCCGGTGTGCCAAAATCAATGTCTGATCCGCAGTTCCCCGAGGTTTTATTCGATCGATCAGCTGCGTGAAAATGACCTGACCATGTGAATATAAAATTTGCTCGCCACCGTTTTGGTTTACATACCGTCTTGCCTGCTCCAGTCGCTAGTGATACTCCAAGGCGTTTGTGGCCTTTTTCAAGGGAAGAGAGAACTGCCTGGATACATTCTTCTTGATAATTTCGAAGCTTAATCGCTGGTACGATCGATGACGTCGAGGTGAATCTACTTCGGTTGATTACAACATCTAAAAGGCCTTGAACCCTTCTTGTCCATCCTCTCGAGGCTGGTGGCATGTCGTATCACGTAGTCGACTTGATTTCTCTGAGGATTATTCAGAAAGTCACTGTCAAAGTCATCGAATGGTCAGGTATTCATGATATCTATGCAAATCACTGCCGCTCTTCGACATTATCTTCTACAGCCGTTGCGCAATCAAATATCATCATTAAAATAGATGTCTATAATAACCGAGATGTTAGCTTCGAACCCCAGACATCAGGTATCTTCGAATCGGACGAGCTAGTCCTACTCCTTACCATTGAGCTCTTATCCAGCGAAAGATGAACGGCTTAGGACTTGCTAAATCTCTTTACAAACTTCAAAAGCCCACCTGGTGCCATTTGCTAATTCCAAAAATGCCATGGAATCCTGCTCAAAACTGAATCACTCATCAGCTGGATACGTCGTTGCCGCGGTAGACAACTTTGAACCATTAACCTTGCCAACTCAAGGTAAGCCATGTAAAAAGCGTCAACCCAAGAAAAAGAGAACTCTTGAGGGTTGTGAAATTCGATCCAAACGTTTAAGACCTTATCATAGCTATGAGTATAGAAGTATTCTAAATACTGAAATTCAACACGCCGCTTGCAAATCAACTCAAAATGACCTACCCCGGCCTCATAATAGCCAAATCGGATTGTCTATTTGGTCTACGGAAGAGAAACATGCGTTTTTTGAAGCATTAGCTTCCCTGGGGCGTGATAGCGTCGAGGAAATTGCCCGACGAATCAAAACTAAGTCTCAATTAGAAGTACAAGAATATATTTCTGTACTTTTAAGCAGTATCAAACAATTGAAGCCCCATTCCTCTGCTTTACTGCCAATTTTTGAAATTCCCTTTGCCACGGAAATCAGCGACAAATGCTGTGCTATACTTGAGATTAGTAGTGACGCAATATCAGCAAACCAAGAGTGTGCAGAAGTAGAGATTGAAAAAGAAAAATGGGGAAATATCTGGCTAATTACTAACGATATCTGTCAGCAGCTTGACACGAGGAAAAAGCTTGTCCGCGAAGCAGAGTCAATCAAAAAAAAATTACCGGCTGCTAATATATTTAACCTGAAGATTTGGCTAGAACTATCACAACGTATCTTTATGAACTCTGCTTCACTGGAGGGGGATAACTGGCATAAATTGGCCGAAGCCGAGGAAACTCCTGCAATAAGAGCGACAGCTGTAGAAGATTTCTACAATCTTATGGCCAGCATTACAAAGAGACTTGTATCAGCAACAATATTCTGCGCAAAATCTCGCATGAAAGCGAATAATCAAAATAACCTGAAACCCCATGAAATTAACTCCAATGACGTCCGGGCTGCAATTCACACACTTGGATTAGAAGAGGACAGTTCCAGATTTTGGATTGAATGTGCCCGAAAGCACAAATTAAACATAGTAGGCAATACAAGGAAGGAAATAACTAAATCTAAAAACGACGATTCCCCGCACCCGCGGCTTACCTATGACGAGGTTGAGGAGTTTATGGGAGCCGACGTTAGAATCCATAAAAACCACCCTCATCACGTTTCTACTCGATCTAATTTTATATTGGCGAATCCCGACTCTGAAGAAGACACATCGTTCGTACATAGCCCCCATTCAAAGAACGAAGATTCTGATAGTACTTTGTGGAGTAATGATAACGAAAGTGTTGCCTCAACAAGTAGCTCCAAATCACTTCGGAGAGAAGAGATGCGTAGAATTTTAAGAGAAGAAAAAGTTAGGGCCGCTGAGCAGGCACAGGACGCATACACTGAGATGATTGATATGCAGGCCAGTCGATCAGACGAGAGAATGCTTTGGGATGTGATGAAAAAGGATCCACCCGATGACCTTCGATTTGAAAAAGAACCAGCTGTAAAGATGCCCAAATACTTTCGCGATATAGACGATGGCAATGATTGGCGTGGTTACTTAGAATACTACAGTGAATGGGAAACGCTGGACAATCAAGTGGCTTCGGATAACCGCGAAGACGGCACCTATAACCCCAAACATATACAGCAGCCTAGGACAAATATCAACCACCCGATTCTAGAATCTATACCATCTGAACATTTTAATTACGACGATATAGAAAGCTTTTCAAACGACAATATGGACTCAGAGTTTATTAGTGACCAAAATAAAATTTACTCCGATGATGCGACTAAATATGAATCTCGATCCTCCAATCTCTCAGTGTGTTCAGGGAACCTGATGACGGAGATAAGAGGTTTAGCAGAGAACTTTGATCTTTCGTCAGACCAGTCACTATCAAGTGATTAGAAATTTATGGGCATGCTCAAAGGCATGTCTTTAGTATACTATTATCTTCTCACTCGTAGACCTATGCTACTATAAATACAAAGTAGACATAGAAAAGGAACCATTTTTCGTCTTGATTCTGTTGTGAGAAATTAGTGTACAGCTTCGTCTCAAGATACTTAAAGCCCGCACCACCAAATTAAACTCCAAGTGACGCCCGACTAACCAATATTATAGACTAAAAAAATTTAGATTTCGTAACTTTTTATCTGACCCTCGGCACTCAATGGCTGCACGGTTCTAGCTGCGGGCGTCACCCCGTGGAAAGAGAGCCGCTCGTCCGACTTCATAAAATCTTGGTCCAATTTTATATCTTGTGCAACCCCCGATGCTGTCGCTACCTTTAAGTTCTCCTGAGCATCTTGCATCCGGTTTTTAAATTGTAGTCGATCGAGAAATAATTGCTGGCGACCTCTTTCAAGTTCTCTTCGCTCGGCCTGGAGAATCTGCTCCATTTCGTTGAACTGCTTTAGCTTTAGATCGAGCTTCTGTAATAAAGTATTGACTGCTGCAGAGACGAGGCGTGTCATCTCTCGTTCTTCGTGAGATGCGAGACCACCGGCTCTTCCAGCCATTGCAGCAAGTGGTATAGATGCCAAGGCGCTGGTTGACTGGGTATTGTTCACAGCTTCTTGTTCGGGATCAATGTCCATTGAGTCAGTATTATTTTTTTCCCTGCTTTTGTCGCTACTAGGATCTAGTTGGTTTCTTAAGCTTTGTTTCAAAGCATCAACGGTTTTTCCAGCTGCAGCTGCCGTTACATTTGGCTCTGCAAGGCTTGCTAAAAACCCAATTACTGACATGACAGGGTTGTCTGCTTGACTGAACGGTAGATGGCCGTTTTGAGGGCCAAGCATGCTAATTCCAGTAGAACGATTTATTGGTTCCGCATCTAAATATTTATCCTCAATTTCTAATTGCAAAAATTTGATTACACATTCTTCTTTCGTTCGAGTGCCGACAAATTCTGATACTTCGTTCCAATCCTCATCATATCGTTCCATTGCTTCCAGAAGTTTAAGAATTTCACCATCACTCCACGGTGCATCTCGATCTGTTATTGCGGAATAAGTGGGATTTTCAATCTTAAGATAAAAGGACTGCTGATGATTTGCAGGCATTCGTCCCTCAGAATAGCAGTTTGGGCATAAATCATATTTTATTTTCCCAGAATTCACAGTTCCAGATTCCGTGTGGGAGTTATGGTAGTAGACACGGGTACAATCAATACCACAAGAGAAACAATGAACTTTAGATACTAGCGCTTTCTCGTCATCTTGGTTCTTTAAGCCCGTGTCCGATGTTCCGTTAGTCGCTGGTGGATTTCCATTGGTCTGCTTCTCGAGGAGTCTTGCAGGAAATTTGGAATCTCTGGGGGTAGCCTCATAAATATTTCTCCCTACATCAAGATTCAAATCAAACCGGGGCGCTTGTCCGGCAGCGGCTTTGACATCGGTGTCAGTGTTTTTTTTCCCCTCGATTACAACTGGATCTGTTGCAGGTTGCCATGGCTGAAGTCCCCGGGGTGTATCGCAGATAACTTTAAAGTGACCGGTGAATGGTGGACACACGGTGGATGGACGTTGATCAGCATCAACCTGGTAGTATCAATCTAAAGGAGCAAATGTATAGGTGGGGATTTTATTACCTGGTAATTAATTAAGCCCCATTGTTCAAGAAACGCGTGAACCCGCATAATAGCACAGACATCGCCAGCAAGATTTCTTCTACAGGCTGTAACTGTCAGATATTCGACTGGATTGAGTCGATAAGTATTTATCATGAAGTCTCGATAATCCTTATATACGGTTGGGGTTTTGCTCCTATTTCGGTTATTGAAGAATTCGGGAAGCGCTTTTCGCTCGATGTTATTAATCTTGGTCATGTCAAACCATGTGCTGTAGCTTGGGAGAATTATGGAGTGAGCTTGAGAAATGAGATGTTCGCGTGCTGAGGATTCAATCGATTCTTTAGTGTTCTCTAACTGGCCAGATGTGGAAATTTCGAGGTTTTCTCCATTGCTGGTGTGTTCTTGAGTGGACTTCACTTCATTTTGAACGTCATTCATGTCTTCATCTTTTGCCTCAATCCCTTCGGCCAGAGATAAATGAGGCGCCTCTGTCGCATTATCTGAGATACTACTTTTTTTTGCCACTGGGTCATTATCTTGTATGTTTGAAGAATCGGCTGTTGAAATTAGTAATCTGAGTACAAGGAGGGTAGAGCGGGAGTAACGTACGCTCAGCACCTCCTCGACCATCAGAAGCAGTATTCTGTGGTAAGGATGATAATCCTGAGCTATATTCATCAGACGGTTTGGTGGAGGGATCGGGATTTGTCAAATTTTCATCCATGACTGGCTTTAATGGTTTGCGCAAACAAATAAGTTAGACGTCGCAGAGAGACGTGTATTTGGTGACTCAGTCGCAGAGGATGTTGGAGGGATGCCGAATTTTCATTCACACACGATTAAGGCTAATTTTTTATTTTACCAGATACTCTGTTCATGAATTGATGAGACGAGTGAGATACCTTAGCAATACTCGCTCGCGTCGTGTTTTGGTTTATATCTTTTGGCACGTATCTCGGAGCGCAAAGACCTAGTTAACGCTTTCTCTTTCAACTTCATGCCTTAGGTTTCAATTTCTCTCAAAATTTACTGAGCTGGTCAGATTACTTGCAACAGCATTTCGTGAATACGTGCCAATATGGATGGAGAAAAGCCGGCAAAGACAAATTCTTCACCTTTTGGTGACGTCGGTTTAATTGCTAAGTAATCTCTATATATCTGGGATAGCCCAGAATCAAATCGGAATCGAAGTCAAAAGCAAGCTCAAGTACATATCCATTTGACGATTTCTGTACAACGTCCCTCTAACCATTCTCATTTAAATCCTCGACCTGTTTCTAACCACAAATCATCTCGACTCAACCACTAATAAAGGAGTTGCTTTAAGTACAAACGAGAACTTCCTCTATTAATTACCAACCATCTCCCACTACAAATTTACGACGTTATTTATACCCGCAAGGCGAAAATTAATTCAAAATATACAAAGCTCGGGTCTCGGTTTAATTGGATGCTGTTGCGCTCATGGTATTGACGACTTGAGGAAGAACAGGCGGCTGAGATTTGTAGTGAGAGGGGGAACAGGTCCCTGAAGAGCATGCTGGGACTGAAATTTTCGAGGGGTTATCAACTTTAGAACGTTTGTGGGCGCCAAGACCAAGGTTTCGGCAAATTAGCCAGGAAGACCTAAATTTTCGATGAGTTAACGGCACTCCCCAGCGCCCAGGACGGCACAAAAGAAGTTGGGTTAAGCTACCGTACAGCGAACACGCTCTGTCAAGACTTTTCTGACATTTCAGCACGACCTTCGGGAAGGAGGCTAGAAAGGCAGAGTGGGAATTTCCCGAGGTACCCACAAGTCTGCAGCGCCCAGCTGGCCGGCCTCTTCGAATGCTTCAGAAGGGGCACCATGTCTTCGGATTTAGTCCTAATGTCGGTATTAGGAGAGCCCCGCACCCAGTGGTTTTTTGTGATTTTTCCCGACTACCATACACCCGCAAACGGTCATCGTTTCGTTGGCTGGAGAGGTGAGATAATGAAGGGCAAGGGCTCCTCTAAGTGTATGATCGAATCAGGACTTGTGAGGGGTGGTACAGTTTGAGGGGAGCTATATAGGAGGCATAGGATGGGATATACTACTAGCATAGGTATCCTTGGCGTGTAGGCAGAGAGGACCTGCATGTCCTTCATAGTCATAGACTCAGAAAAGACAACAAAAGGAATTGGTAATGAAGGGGAGACAAGATCTTGTTATTCGAGTCCGAAAAATTCCATCAATTTCAAGGATAAATTTTTTAGATTTTTTTATCTGACTCTTTTTTTTGCACCATTTGTCTAACCTTTCACCATCTTGAAACCGAAGGAGTTTGTATCTCGCACACTGTATTAAATCTTGTGAAGAGTGTAGTATTTTTATGCATGTTGAGATATGAACGATTTTTACAATGTAGAGCCATGTCTCCAAAAATCTAGGTTTGACAATCTTCAAAATAATTTCGGGTATTGAGAACACAGGCTTTTGTCACTAGACTATTGGCAGGCAACTTGAAGCGGGCATTATCGCGTAGTGCTTCAGAATCTCACAACCTGGAAGATGGACACTGTATTGTTGCTTAGTCATCGGATACACGAACCCCACATAAACTCTTTGCACAGTTCCAACGCTTCAACTATTGAATGAAACTTATCACGTCCGCTATTACTAGTCTCTCATTGACCAGAAAACTTATATCTCGGATCCAATACTTATAATATGGTTTTTCGGATAAGTTCTTCAACTCTCTGCCTAACGAGGGGATGGCTTAGACCCCTTGCCAGTCTAACGTCAAGCAATCCTAGATTAATCTCATACAGATCAGTATCAGCTTTAGCAGTTCTTGAACTGAAAGACGGGAAGTTAATTCAAAGCTCGCTGAGTGCCGTCTCTGCCGGACAGAAATTGGGCGGTTCTTTAACTGGATTTATAGCCGGTGGTAATATAAGTGAATCTATGAGGGAAACAGCCAAGATCAGAGGGATCCATAAGATAATATCCATCGAGAATCATGCATACGACAAGGCTTGTTTTCTAAATCAAATCAATCTAGAAATTCTAATTAGGTTACTAGGGACTGCCGGAGAACTTTGCACCACTGCTAGTAGCAAATATCAGAAAAGGAGGATTTACTCATATACTCGCTGGACACACTACTTTTGGGAAGAGTTTGATGCCTCGAGTTGCAGCTCTACTTGATGTCGCACAGATATCAGATATTACGGCGATTGAGAACGAAAATACGTTTGTGCGACCTATATATGCAGGTAACGCCATTGCGACAATAGAATCATCAGATGAAATCAAAGTTATAACGACTCGGGCCACAGCATTTCCGCCAGCAGAATATGAAGCTGATGGCAGCAAAGTACTGATTGAGAATGGGGTTGATCCTAATTCAGAATCCCCAATTAAATGGGTCTCGGAAAATCTAACTAAGTTAGATAGACCCAGCTTGGCAACAGCTAGCAAAGTCGTCTCAGGAGGGCGTGGCTTGAAGTCCAAAGAGGAGTTTGATCGTGTAATTTTACCTCTTGCTGATGCGTTCGGGGCGGCTGTAGGGGCATCTCGAGCTGCTGTAGATAGTGGGTACGCGGATAACAGCCTTCAAGTCGGACAAACTGGGCAGGTAGTTGCACCTCAATTGTACTTTTGTGTGGGAATTTCGGGGGCTATTCAGCACCTTGCAGGAATGAAAGACAGTAAGGTCATTGCTGCGATTAATAAAGATGCCGATGCTCCTATATTTCAGGTCGCTGACGTTGGGCTTGTCGGGGACTTATTCGATACAGTGCCCGAACTCACTGAGAAGCTCAAGAAATAATTTCCATTTAATATTCGAAGAATGGTGATATTGAATCTTGATAAATTTTATTTCTTTAGTGCTGCTAGCATATCTTCAACAGATGTAAACTTTTCCCGATCCTTTCCGCTTTTGAGCCCATTAGTTCTCTCATCACTATCGATTATTTGCCAATCATCCCAGGTTATTGGTCTACAGAGTTGCCTTACTTTGAAGTCCTTGCATACACCTCTCCAACCAAGCAAACATTCCTCGGAATTTTCCGAACGTAAAAATGGAGTATCGCCGTTTTCCCAGTCGTGAATAATCGCATCAGCTGTACTGAATGCATCTTGCATGGTGTTTGCAATAACACCAGTCGATCCTGTTTTGACCCAACCAGAACAATACATGCCGGGAATGTTTAAGCCGTTCTTTGGCTTTACTCGGCCAAAGTGGTCACTCGGAATAACTCCTCTGTGCTCATCAAAGGGGATCCCAACTTCCTCAAACCCTAACAGAGCCTCAGCCGCATATCCTATCGATGTGAAGACTAATGAAGCTCGAATTTCAACAGTCTCGCCAGTGCCAATAGCTTTAGCCTCTACATTGAATGGATTGGGAGATAGGGCTGTTCTTTCAAAGGTCACTGTGCCAAGTTTGTTAGGGCATGTTGATCTGGAATTGAAGCTCTTAGGGGAAAGATTAAAATCAAAAGTTAGTAGTCGTTTATCAACGGAACTGTATTGACAAGCTACTGAACCTGAGCGCGAATCAGAAGGCACCGTGGGAAGGTTAATAGAAGGCGAAGCCGCTCGGCTTTCGACAAAATTATCTCTTATATAGTTGATCAGTCGCCTACGTGCTCTGGGCAGTTTATTTATGGTATTCTCGTCAGGCATCAGAAAATCTGGTACACATTCTATAACTACGTTGGATAAGGACCCGAGCTCTCGGATTTCTTTGATAGTAAAGGCAGCCTAGTACAGAGTTAGCGTTGAATGCGGCATCATAGTAAGATGAACCTGAACAAGGCCCCTTCGGCCAATTATCCTTATTCGCTCTATCTTACTCTCTCTGAGGGCTGCTAGAACATTTTGAGGTATGTCAGTATTTTTGAGTGATTCCGGGTCAGTGAGAATAATTCTGGCAATATCGAGGGCCACATTTCCTTGTCCAATAATAATAGCTTCTTTTGTAGCTGTAAGATCTGGAACTGGTGCCATAATCTCGGGAAGTCCATTGTACCATCCTACGAACGATCTAGCTGAGTAAACACCATCAAGTTGGTCTTCACCAGGAATGCCCAACTTTCTATCCCTCGAGGCACCGTACGTAAAGACGATAGCATCATAGTGAGGGAGGAGGCTTTTTAGGGGTACAGAATTGGCGCCCTGCCCAATTGCAACATTACCGATGTAAGTGAAGTTTGGAGAGCCAGCTATGTCCTTAAACTTTTCCTGACATTTCTACACTCGTCTTAGCCTCAGCCAAAGCATCCTCATCCGCAAAGCTAACCCTAACTTCTGCATGATCGGGCGCGACACCATATCTCGTAAGTCCAAAGGGGGTTGGCCATCGTTCAAACATATCCACTCTTGCGTCTTGAATCTTTGACAGCACTCGATGCGCAGTATAAAAGCCAGCAGGTCCCGCACCTACAACAGCCATATGAAATGGCGCTCGCTGGCGCGCTTGACGACTATCAGTGACGTAGGCGTGTCGCTGAATGCTGCAGTTGATCTTTCTGAGAAAAAAACATGCTCGCCGTATTGGAGAAGTGTGATGTGCCATATGCAGGAAAAGCATTGAGGTTGGTTAGATGCTAGTGTGGTGGATTACTTTGGCCAGTAAAATCTTGCTCGCCGAAATGGTGAATTAATGTAACAATTAAAGATGTAACGGTGCCCGAAATGTACTAACCATGCTAGATTGCTGATATGGAGTATGGATCTACATATAGACCATTGCCCGAGTGTGCGGCCGCGTCGCCGAAGAGGTTATGGAACAAATGCCTAGACAACGAATTTGACAAGCAGCGACTGTTAAAAAGGATTGTTTACCGATGATGTCGCGGTGAAATTAATGCCGGTCATGTAGGCAGCAATGAGATCTTAGAGCCCATCTACCCGTGTCACGTCTAATTAGATGCTAGGATTGTCCTGTCACGTTAAATATTTCAAATCAAATCATGTCGCGTTGAAATTACTAATTTTGGCAGGCACCCCGACCTCTCTATTCGAGGTCGAAGATGGAAAATTCTAGGTATGTATCACTGGTCCTCCTTTGTACGTTCATTGAGTAGCAACACAGCTATTTATAATGGTAGGAAATGATCTATCGGGTTTATTAGTCGGTTTGCAGGATTAATGAATAAGGGGATAATATTTGAAATTTTGAATTTGATTTCGTTTGACCTGATCAGGCACCCTATGGGTGTATGCAGGTGACTTTCTTCATTATTTACAAAGGAAGAAAAAAATTTGGTGAAAGGAAGACGAAGGCTGAACACCTGTCAGTGGTGTCTTCTACGAACCTGGGAGTGAAATATTCTCCCAGAGCCGGGATTCAGTCACGAAAAAGGATGGGATGAATTTTTTTGATGGATTTTCGACTTGAAGGAGTTTCACTCGAAATTTTGGTCGATAAATCAGTCGACAGAGATTTCATAGCCAAGACAAAGTCGAACAAAAACTCATCATCACCAACATACGATTCACGAATGGATTTAGGTCTGTCTGGGGGTCGTATTCAAACATCCGGCATCTCTCAAACTCCTTTTATATTTGCGACGAAGCATTTCTCAGTCGATCCGAAACCTGCGACCCACCTCTATACTCGTTCGATCACCTACCTGCACACCCCCTAATGAGGAAAGTCATGATGGAAACGGGACGTGTACAAAGGAGGAAGAAGATGGAAGATGCACCGAGGGGATTACACAAATCCCCAATGACGAAAACAACCCAACAGTACGATATGAAGGTGCAAGGCTAGAGCAACGATGAAATCTTGGACGGCATTTATATTTCGGAGTCAATGAAGATGTCAAGGGCTCGGGCGCGTGGTGGCCGAGGCTGAGGAGGAAATTGCGCTACGGCGTGTATACAGCGGATTTCTGGACGGTTAGGCTTGGTATGATTCAACACATAGGTGAAGTCTGAGGTGGTCCGGTCATTAAAGTGGGACGAGGTTTATCTGTACTTCACGGTAGTTAACCTGATCCGGCCCAACCCCACACGTGCTTAAGCTCCAGTAGGAGTGCAACGGTAGTCATGTAACCTAGCACGTTAATGAAAAAAACAAAATAATTTGGTGAAAACTCCCTGATCCTCAGATCCCAAAATCTGGAACGCAGTAAATCTTTACACAGATGAAAAGACGGGAAAGACAGAAATGAGCCAAAGAGGAACACCTTCTAGTATCCATAAACACCTGAGCAGGGCCCAGAGCAGCATAGCCATGCAGATAAGAAGCGAACATATCGGGCTCAATTCTTACCTCTAAAGAAGGAAAGTACCCGGTGTAGGAGATCCATGCTGCCAATGTGGTTATCCGTCACAAAACTTCAAGCACATGGTGTTGGCGTCTCCGCAGTGGGCAAATGGAAGAGGCGACTTTCACCGACAAGCCAAAAATAGGTCATTTGAAGCAATGATGAACAGCCCAGAAGATGTAGCAAGGATAACAAAATGGATCCAGCAGGAAGGATGGCTAGAGCAGTTTCGACTGACACTTGAAGTCGAGGCCACGATGAGGGAGAGAAGAGAAAGCAGGGGGAAAGATGATCCCCTGCCAGTAGCAATGAAGTGGACGGTATCCGCACTGGATATAACAGTATTAGTGCACTTCGAGAAGGTAACACAAACTTAATGTGTAAATAAATTGAAAAGCTGAGGGGGTTTTTACCATAAAGTTTTTCTCCTAAATAAATATTAGAGTTCGTAGACACCTGCATGGGCCTTAAGGTGTAACGGCTAGTGAGCCGATAATTGTCCTATATCACGTGATGTTAATCACGTGCCGCAACAATTTGAAATAGCAGAGTCCCGTTTCAAGGGTAGACGAGAGTATTTATGCTCCAACGGAGACTTCAGACATGGAAGCAGGGGAAAAGATTACACCAATGGAAGTGATTTAAATAACGGACCACCACAAAGAAAAACTCCTGATAACTTCGGCAGCCAATACAGTGGTCATGGGATGAATAATGACGTGGACAAGTCAGGTGATACTATCATGGGTGGCGTTAATGCGACGGGCGTAAAAAGAGAAGAAAGCAGACGAGCAAAATGGAAAACAAAATCTCAATTGGAAACACTGAAGCGGGAAGGTCGTTGCTTTAGGTGTGAGCGTAAAGGGTGTGTAACCAAAAGGTGCTCTTTACTGCCGGCCATAAAGCCCAAGGGTAATTCAGTATGGGTTACTTCTACATCTTTGCCAGAAATAGATCCATCTATGTATTATATTGAAGGAAAGGAATCGGAATCGGAAAACTTATAGCTCCTGAACCCAGTCGCGCTCAGGAGCCAGAAATAGTCAGCAGTTTTGAAGCAAGTTTAAATACAAAGCCTTTTCTTTTAAATGCATTATTAAATGATACAAGAATGGTCCAAGCACTAGTAGACAACGGTTGCTTGTGTTTTGGAATCATTGATGATATATTAGCTGAAAAACTACGACTACCGCGCATTTCAATAACCCCTAGAATACTAGAAACTGCAGATAATTCGTCCACAAACAAACCGACTGTCAACAATATTACCTATTTATCACTAGATCTTGATGGATACGTTACGCCAAAACTATGGCTCTACGTTGTACCCAACAGCACTCATCAATTGATTTTGGGAAAAAAATGGCTCGAAGATCAAGATGCGGTAGTTCATTCTAAAGAGCAACGTCTTGAACTTCGCAAATGTGGTGGATCTATATGCAGCGTCGACCGCTGGAGACAAGACTTAAGAAATGTTGCCCGTCCGAAGAACGTCCCTATTAAGACCATGGCAACAATGGTTGAAACAGTTCCAGTTTGCAAGGCATCAATCGAAGACATAAATAAGGCATTACGTGGAAAGGCGTGCTTATCGTTAGAACAGGCGCAAAATCGACTACCTGATCAAGTCAAGGGTTTTGCCCATTTATTTGCAGATAATACAGGGGCGAACGACTTGCCACCCCTACGCGGCAATCTAGATCATGCTGTCGAGTTGCGAAAAGAGAAGGGTAAAACTCTGTCGCCGCCATGGGGTCCGCTTTATTGTATGTCAAGAGAGGAGTTGCTTGTTCTGAGAAAAACATTAACGGATCTCCTGGAAAAGGGTTGGATTCGACCAAGTAAATCGGCAGCAGCAGCACCAGTACTCTTTGCAAAGAAGCCGAACGGAGGCCTTCGATTTTGCGTGGACTATCGAGGGCTAAATGCGATAACTTTGCCTGACCGATATCCACTTCCATTATTTAAAGAAACGCTGCGTCAGTTATCTCGAGCAAATTGGTTTACAAAACTCGATGTAAAATCAGCTTTCCATAGAATACGTGTCAAGGAAGGCAACGAATGGATGACGGCATTTCGCTGTCGGTTTGGTCTCTTCGAGTGGATGGTAACACCCTTCGGTCTTTCCAATGCACCAGCAACCTTTCAAAGATATATTAACGAACAATTACGCGAACACCTTGACGTTGATGCCACAGCTTACATGGACGATGTTCTGGCGTATACATCAGGGAGTGAGGAAGAACATTGGAAAGTCGTTAGAAGCATACTATCAAAACTCGAGAGAGCGGGACTATATCTTGATATCGATAAATGCGAATTCCTTTGTCAACAAGTTAAGTATCTTGGATTCATCATTAAGGCAGGCGAGAGTGTTTCAACCGACCCAGATAAAGTGAAAGCCATAATGCAGTGGGAGGCACCTACCTCTGTTAAAGGTGTTCGATCATTTTTAGGATTTGCTAACTTTTATCGATGCTTCATAGACAAGTTTTCTGACATTGCAGCCCCACTGATTGACTTGACCAAGAAGAATTCACCGTGGCACTGGGGTGAAAAAGAAAATTTTGCTTTTGAACAATTAAAGAAAATTTTTGCGACATCGCCAGTCTTAGCACAATGGGATCCAGAACGTGACACCGTGTTAGAAGCAGACTGTTCTGGTTTTGCACTGGGAGGATGTCTATCACAATTGGATGATCTGAAAAGATTACGGCCAATTGCTTATTTCTCGAGAAGATTGACGGGCGCCGAATACAATTACCCTATTCATGACAAAGAAATGCTCGCGATTATTGAATGCCTCAAGGAGTGGCAAGCCGAATTAAAATCAGTTGAAAAGCCTTTCACAATACTTAGTGATCATAAAAATCTTAGTTATTTTGCCTCCAAGAAGCTACTCAACGAGCGACAAGCCAGATATAATGATACTTTGCAACAGTTTAATTTCAAAATTCAGTGGCGAGCTGGTACCGCTAGTCAGCGACCAGACGCATTGTCGAGGAGGGAACAGGATAAGCCTACAGGACTCGACGATGAAAGAAACGCGGGAAGGGTAATCCAGCTGTTACCATCAGTTTCTCTTTATCCTGTTAACACCAGAAAAACTAGTCGTAACACTAGTCGATCCATTGACCCAAGCGCCGAGGCAGTTATTTTTGAGAATGATGAGTTGCAAGCTTTGTGGATGAAAGGTGTCGAAACGGATATTGATTGGAAACGTGCTCGAGATGCTGTGAGGGCAGGTGAAAGAAGTTTCCCCCCAGATATTGCCTTAAAATATAGAGCCAATATAGCTGAATGTACGGTGGCGGCAGATAACGTGCTGAGAGGTCGTGAAAACAGAATTTGGGTGCCAGATTATGAGCCACTCCGAACAGCTATTTTACAGCAGACACACGATAGTCATCTCGCGGGACATCCAGGGAGGGACACAATGGTTGGAATTTTGCTGCGAAGATGGTTCTGGCCTAAGATGAGAGAATCAGTGCGCCGGTTTGTGCGAAATTGCGACGTTTGTGGACGCGCAACAGTCTGGAGGGAAGCAAAAGCTGGCTTTCTTCGGTCATTACCAATTCCAGAACGAGTTGGCTGTGAACTTACTATTGACTTTGTCACTGATTTGCCTCCTTCAAGTGGATGTACCAATATTATGGTAATAACTGATCGTTTGTCGAAAGAAGTCTTCATGTTTGGTACAAACACAATGACATCATCGGAGTGTGCGAAAGTATTCATTGATCGATATTTTCGTTACCACGGATTTCCTAGATACTTAACTAGCGACCGTGGTAGCGACTGGTTAAGCCATTTTTGGAGTACATTCTGTGAGTTGACGAAAATTTCGCAGCGACTGACAACGGCATATCACCCTCAATCAAATGCCAGCGAGCGGGCTAATCAAGAAATATACAAGTACCTACGATCATTCTCTTGCTACTCGCAAAATGACTGGATGGATTTATTGCCAATGGCGCAGCTAGCACTTAATGCTCGGCCGAACTCATCTATCGGGGGAATGAGCCCGTTTTTCTTGAAGCATGGTTACGATTTAGATCCTGTAACACAACCGTCGCCGTCTACCTGTGAAAAGTCGCGTCATCCAGGTCGCCTTTCAGCAATAAAATATGTTCGAAGTTTAAAAGATGCGCAGGACTTTGCTCAAGCAGCGATGGCTTCCGCACAGCAACGTTATGAGGCTAACGGGAACGTGATTCGTCGACAACCTGAGAAGTTCCGAGTTGGAGATAAGGTCTGGTTAAACCTGCACCATATAAAAACTCCAAAACTGTCAAAGAAATTAGCGTGGCAACACGCAAAGTACGAAGTGACTGCCGTTCCAGACGCACTTACAGTCGAGCTAAACGTACCGGGTAACATCCATAAAAGATTCCACGTGGAATTAATAAAGCGAGCTGGCTCAGATCCATTCCCGAGTCATTTTAGAGATGATGCTCAGAACCCTCCCATAATCGATGAGCTAGAGGAGCCCGAATTTGAAGTTGAATCAATCCTACGTGCGAGAACTATCCGTCGTGGTAGGGGAAAATATCGACAGGCACTGGTAAAATGGGTCAGCGAAGCAAATCCGACGTGGGAGCCGGTAGAATTTATTGAAGACACCTCAGCCCTTGATAATTTTGAAGCGAAATTTGGACCTATTGCAACAAATGATGGTCCCCCAGAGTCTAGTGTCGGAGCGTCTGTCGGACCAGCTGAGCCAGGCACCCTTCGGAAACGTCGGGAGCGGTGTAAAAAGCATCGCAACAACAAGGGCTAAGGGAGATGAATATATGAATATTTTTTTTTTTTTTGTTTTTGTTAGCTGCATATTTAAACAGTTGGAGTTCAAAAAAACAAAAAAAAAAGAAAAAGGAAGGGGAGGGGAATTGTAACGGCTAGTGAGCCGATAATTGTCCTGTGTCACGTGATGTTAATCACGTGGCTCAACAATTCTGTGAAAGGCGAAACTTCACTCTAGTTTATTCTGAACATGACTAGAGGATTCTAGCAACTGGCATCGAGACTGTGAACTGGTATCAGGGAAACATAACAGAGGCTAGTATCAGACAGGAAGGAATATTCTAGATAGCCTAATAAGTGTATAAATAGTTGAGTTAGGACACACATATTGTGGTATAGAAAATAATAAACAACCTTCGTATATTTGATCGCCCCAGCATCTATACCTCGAACTGTGACATAAGGCGCCAAATCGGGCTAAATGAAATCAAATTCAACCCCCTGATCCTGTCTATTTACATTACTATCAAGTTGTTTGATTTACTCTCAGGAACTGCAGTCTACACTGTTCAGCCAGTGTATTACATACGACATTGATACCTCGACTTTCCCTGCAAGTCAAAACTGTTTTATCCGTCCTTTGCTTAGTATCCACTGTGTGATTCTAGCTACATCTTCTGGGCTGTTCATCATTGCTTCAAATGACCTATTTTTGGCTTGTCGGTGAAAGTCGCCTCTTCCATTTGCCCACTGCGGAGACGCCAACACCATGTGCTTGAAGTTTTGTGACGGATAACCACATTGGCAGCATGGATCTCCTACACCGGGTACTTTCCTTCTTTAGAGGTAAGAATTGAGCCCGATATGTTCGCTTCTTATCTGCATGGCTATGCTGCTCTGGGCCCTGCTCAGGTGTTTATGGATACTAGAAGGTGTTCCTCTTTGGCTCATTCCTGTCTTTCCCGTTTTTTCATTTGTAAAAAGGTTTACTGCGTTCCAGATTTTGGGATCTGCTGTGGCGTGGTGGTTAGTATGTTGCCTGGCTGTTAGTTTCGTCCAGGATCGTTCCCATTCTCTAAAAGCTGCAACCTTCCCAGCCGCTTTCTGTCCTACTTTCGTCTCTATAATCTCACATGTTTGACCCCACTCCGCAATATCCAAGGTCCTCGTAACAGCTCGTGCGTCTTGCCTTCCAGCTCGGGGTTGCTTTATCTTCCTGCATGCTGACAATATCGTATCTTGAACAGGTAGGCTTTTTGATAGTCCGGCGTGTTGGACCCTCCTTTGTTTTAGATAGATTTCCATCGGCAAGGTAGAGGTCTCATGCTCAAGTACCTTGCTGCTGGTCGAGTTGTACGCTCCCGTGACGATCTTGAGGCACCTTCTTTGGATACTTCGAAGTGGCTTTATCACTCTTTCGGGAATTTTGCCGGCTATTCCGGGCTCAGCCCAAATGGGGGCTCCGTAGGTGATAGCTGGTCTCACCACTGCATTGTACACAAGTTTTGCTTTGTGGAACGTTGCACCCCAAGTTGATTGTGCCAATCTACCTAGGGCTTGGATTTGTGGTTCGACTTTGAGCTGTATGCTTTTGACATGAGCACCCCAATTAAATTTCGGGTCGAGGTGGATGCCTAGGACACGAAGAGAAGGTTGCGGATGAGCGATATGGCCTTGGATTTGGACTGTGGCCTGCATGTTGTGCTTCTTTCGAGCTCTTGAGAAGTGCATTAACTGGTACTTCTCCGGAGCAAATTTTACACCATGTCGGTCAGCCCACTTTTCACAAATCCCATGGAGCCTTTCGAGATTTCGGCTATTTTCTTCTGTAGAATTGGACCAAGTCAGTGTGTTAGTATCATCCACGAATCCTACAGCCGTCGAAGACGGCGACTGAAGTTCTGGAAGAAGCGTGCTGACGAAGAACAGGAAGAGAATTGGCGAAAGAGAAGAGCCTTGAGGAATCCCAGTACTTGTCAGAAACTGTTCTCCTTTGAACGAACCAAGGTTCATCGACGTAGTTCTATCCTCTAGAAACGATTCAATGAAAAGCGTCGTCCATCTTGGTATACCTTTAGCCCTCATATTGTGTATGAGTCTCTCGTGAGACACATTATCGAAAGCCCCGGTTATATCTAGGCTGAGTAGAGAAGCGACTCTCCTTTTGTTCTTTCCCCATATTGAGTGTACTTGTTCTGTAATAAGTTCCACTGCGGAGATCGTGGATCTGAATTTTCTGGCTCCCCCTAAACTCAGTTGATGATCATAATAGGTAATTCATTCTATCCAAAATAATTTGGTGCCTTCTATATACGCCGATTTTCGCTTATAATTGAATGCCGGGTTGAATCGTGTTTTGTTTTGCTAGCATCTCCCATCACATGAGGTGGGGTAACTGCTCAACAAGAAGTCCACAGGTTACCGGCGTAAGTTCGCAACGATTATTAGAGAAGCGGATATGTTTCCTGGTGCTCCAAGGTTTCCTGTTTATCGTACACCTGAAGGCTGCCTTTATTTAGATGGAGATAGAGGATAGTGAATGTGAGGCACATTCTGCAGTGTGTCTGGGATTTTGTGAGGAAATAGACTGTTGAAAAGAGGCTGAGGAGACATGGGAGGGAATATACGATCCGAAGTAGAGGTGTCCTTGGCCCGTAGACAGAGTTGACCTAGATTGTCAGAACGTCAAACATCAGAGTGAATGCCCAAAACACAGTTGCATCCTTGTATCATTTCCCTATCACACCATATAATCACTATTTCTAATCAACATGATCTCCGAATCGTTAGCTCGAAATCAGTTTTTTTCAATTTTGGTATTTCCTGAGATGACCAAGACTGGAATCCCGAAATGATCGTCTGATGGCCCGCCTAGCCTTTCGGTAAAGGGGCGGCAAGAAGCTTGGCTTATTCTGGGGATAAGATGCCCGTGGGGATGCTCCACAGGCTTGACGACGATCAATTCCATCACCGCTTGTAGTATTTGAGGTGGCTTGGCCAATGGAGTCGCTTAGGTGGATGGTGTATGGGCTGCTTGTCGTCGCCTGTCAAGCATGTACGAGGATGAGTAGGACCTTGTACGTCGGGTGAGAATGAGATTTGTTGCCTTGGTGGTTGTCAAGGGCCCACAAGGACTAGTGTACCGGATTGGCGATAATTGCCGTGGTGACGGCCCCTTTATTTACACACCATTCCACAACTCATGAAATATACATGTCCCCGCACGCCTCCTCGGCCAATGCTTTTGACTCTCACCTAATATCATCGGGTTAGATATCTTCATTCTACGCCTCTATAGATTCTAATTCTGAGCATGGGGAAAGTTACGGCCCCCTTCCTTTATGATGCGCCAAAATCCGAGGGATCCTGCAGCCCATACCATTCATTTGATCCAAGGGCCATCTCCCGTACAAGCTTCCAATCCACGGCCCCACGACCCAAGGTAGTGGGTCCTCTTGTTTCTATGGAACCGAACCACAAGTACATATATTCCACCCATTCTAACCATCATACTTATTCAATCTTAGCCACTGCAGAATTTACAATCATCTCTCTCGGACAACTAAAAACGTCAAACCTATGCACTCGTCAGTCAAAAAACATGTCAGCTACACGCAAAAAACACTACTCGCGCTCCGCTACTGCCAGCTGTTTTGCTCGTGCGCCCTTTTTGTCATTGGACTTCTCGCCAACCCAATCCATAAAACTGCCGTGTGGGTTATCCGGATAGCAGTGAGCTTAAGTCTAATGAACCGTGCATGTAATATTATACTGACTACACAAGATTGGTGTCACCATAGCTCATACCATCTATGCACTCTACCATTTAAGCCGCAAAGCTTCCGGCAGAATACCAGCTTCTTCGGCATCCTACTCTCTATTTGCATCTCTGCTTGATATAGCCTCAGTTGCCTTTTTTATATACATAGCCTTTTTTTACGGGATTCCACCTACTCACGCAAAGTACTCTCTTCTTGTGATTCTCAATGTTGATATACACGTATTCTACAAAATGGGACTCTGCTCAGCGGCAGTCGGCACATGTTTATACTCAGTCTCTTCATCCTTGTCATTATACCTTGCAGTGGTATTCCGCAAGATTGCCGCCATGCCACCAGACATGAATCCCTTGGAGGACAATCTGACTTCTCGGCACAAGAGAAATAAGTCATCAATCGCTACCAATACGTTCGTCACTGAAGTTCGAAGCTCTGTATTAACGGGTTCTAAACGGAGCTCTGGAGCATCGTATACAAAGTCTAATTACCTAACGGGATCCAAAATACTCCAAGGTGAACCAAGGGTCTCTTTTGCACCTAGCGATTCCACAGATCTGAGGAACGCCCGACAAGCCCTTCCAAGCCAGGTAGGGACAGGATCACCAGTGCCAACTGAACTAAAACGTTCCTCTGGCTCCTCAACATCCCCGAAAAAGCCTTCATATATCGAAGTTCCTCTATCAGATGATAACGAGTCCTTCTATCAAAGTCTTGTTTCCGAATTCCAGCCGACAACTTGGTATGCAGGGGACTCGATCAAAAAGAGTTGCGCACGCTCTAGCTGCGTAATTCCTGACAGTTCACAGACACGATATACGCCTCTTCACACACCACAACCGAATAAAAAACACCCTAACCCACTTCAAGCAAACCCTCCTTCAGAGGCTAATGAATCTTCCCCTCAAAGCCTAAGCCCAAGGGAAGCAATAGAGCCATTGCCTCTACTACCTAATAGAGAGAGCTATCGCCATAGCGAGGATAGCTCCGACATCGTAGATGCATTCATCAATAGGTCATCACGCGACCAAGCCACAGAGCATCTTACTAAAACACTAAGGTACGGGGAATTAAGACCAGGCAAGCCGCCAGTCATGGTGGGACGAAGTGATACGAGACAAATCTCTTCAGGAAACGATTATTTTTTCGAAAATTGGAGCCCACGAAGCATCCTCGGTCGTAGAGATGTCAGCGGAAAGCTAATCGAGGAGGGTCGTAGTAACGAGAGCGGGCTCTTGAACATGAAACTACGGAAATTTAGCGGAAAGTTATTGTTCTGATTGAATGAAAAAGAGTCTAAATAATATTTGACTTGATGTGACTGATGTATAATATGAATTTATGTCCATAAAAGCGATCGTTATATGTTGGCGCCAATTTTTATTTTGGTAATCGTCCGCAATGTCAAATATTTCAAGTACGATAGAGTAATAAGGGACTTAGTCATACGCGTCATTAAATTCCGTGCCAGTGATGTCTAGATAATTTCTCAATTACTGATGTTTATGTTCAGCTGTTCTCGACGCAATTTCGATGAAGATACTCGGCCCAATCTATCGCAATCATTTCCTCTGTCTTAATAATAGATGATTCGACGTCAGATTTATTCCCGACGCGTCGACGACTGTCCCACGTGCTCAAGCTAAATAAGTGTCGCATTGTTGGCCGTCCGTGTGGGCAGTTCCATGGCTTGTCTAGCTCCCCAAGATGCAACACTATTTTCTCCATCTGCTTGAGCGTTAAAGTCTTCCCGATCATGATACTGCTACGACATGCTCTCATGGCCAGCATTTTCTGGACTTTGGATGGTCTCGGAGTGAATCCAGGCGGATTATCAGCGAGAAGACTTAAGAGTTCTTCAAGGTCAGCCACCGAGAAGGCAGTTTCATAACTTAGTGGTAGACTGGTGAGCTTACATCGCTTACCCGTGGGAAGATTACCAGAAGTATCGAACGTCACAATGAAACCATTATTTTGCAAAGCTGATGAATTTTCCGCTACAATCTCTTCCTCGAGGGCAGTGAGATCCAATGTCTTCGGAATTACTAGTTTTTGAGACTGAACAATTGTTGATGCTTGGAGACGTTCAAAGTTATACTTCTCATCCGAGGCATGTTGATCAATGATGAAAATGTCGTCATCGCACGGATTATCACAATCATGATCAAAGTTTGAAAATCGTGTCACGAGTATAAAGCCTAGATTGAATTGACCAATGATTTTCATCTTGGAAAAATCAGATTTAGCTATAGTTAGAGTAAGCTTTTCCTCCGGGTTTAGGAAGTTTTCTTCATCACGTGCTCTGACATCAACCTTCTTTACCGATAACGAGAAACGTTGCTCTAGAAGCTCCATTTTTTCCTTTATTTTGGAGATGTTTGTGCTGATAGTTTGTGACAAGGCCCTTGTTGAGGTTTTTTTTGATAGACTTAGCGGTATCTCAGAATTGCTGGAGTATGATTTAGAGACCGATTTTTTGGAATTCTCATCAAACTTGCTGATGTTGTGGAACATTTTTCTCTCAAGGACTGTACCTTCGTCTTCATTAATTTCGGTATCGCTATGATCTAGTAAAGGGGTCATAGGCTGGTAGGGATCCAAATGTTCGACAGATATATTACTTGGCTGTGAATTATACACGGTATCCATTGAGCTAGTTACTGTTTCCTCATACAATTTGGGAAATTCCGACGAAGCTTGTGAAGATACTGGTGTTTCGATCGCATCGGGATTTTCGGACTCGAAGATTTGGGTATGAGAAATTTTACATCTTTTAGTAGCCTGGGCAGAACAAATCTGGCTTAGACTACTCTTGTGTTTTGACGGTGTCTGAGAAGTATCTCGAAGAAAACTCATTTTTTTGGTCATATTTTGAGTATCCTGGCTATCTTTATTGGTGGGTGATTGAGTTCCAAAAAGACTCTTTGAATATGAATCATCACCAGCATAGGACAGGCTCTCTGGAGAGATTGTGGATTCGTTTAAAATAAGATTATTTCCTCTAGAGGCTGAAGAGTACGGCTTTATATGGGATCTAGGGTTGAGACAAGTTCTACTCGCTTGGTTGACAGAGTGCTCATGGAGCTCGAAAGATTTGCCGCAACTTCCTTGCTTGTAAAGTTTTACAGGCGAGAGTATAGGAGGGGTTCTCGGCGGGCCGTAAGTCTCTAAACATTTTGTCTTGTCCATGACATCGGAAGCATATTTAGTTTCGCTTTTAGCATGATCATTCTTTTTAGTATCGACGCCCACTTCAGATTTTTTATTTGTTATTAACGATAAATTATCTTCTATCAGGTTGATTTCGAGATCGCCTGTGGGCAACTGGGTGCCTTTTCGCCCTTGAAATTTGGGTGAATCATTTTCGTTGTCTTCTTCTGCAAGGAAGCTTAAAATATTTGAAGATTTCAGTGAAGGACTAGACCTTTTTTCAGTTCCGTTACCAAAGACTTGCATATGTTGTCTTCCAGTACTAGTGAGTTCTTCTGAGTCTGAAGATTCCGACGCAGATTGGCTGTGAGGAAATTCTTCTGATTTTAACGGAGAACTCACAGCACTTCTAGCATTTATTTTTGTTTGCTTGTACGACGTCTGGTTTTGATTGGAAATAATCTGGGCTAATGGAAGGGTATTACCGTGTGAGTCAAAGAATGAAGAGAGTGAGCATTTCAGTGCTTCCAATATTTTGTTCTGATCATGGAGTAAAATTGTTCTTTTATCAGGACTGACATTTACATCATACAGACGTGTATCAAGTTCAATATTTGCAAATAAGAAAGGAGAATGAGAGCCATTATAAGCTCTATAGACCTCATTGAAAACTTTAGCTACCTGTGGGAGGTTGCACGGTCTTGTATTTACGAAGAACATTTGTCTATCAGGTGCCTGACGAGATTCTCCACCCGTAGACCGCGATACGTGTCCGAAGATTCTTATTTCTTTAGTTCCGGGACTGTGGTGATGATTTCGGTTTTGATAATTATCAAGTGTTAATTTTAGATCTATAGGGACGAGAGCTGTCAACATCTTCGCTCCAAATACGTTGGCAATATTGTCCTTCGTCGATTGATTACCCTTAGTGGAGAATAAAATGGTCTTTTTTCCATTTCCGTTCTGCTGAGATACTGAAAACTTGATACCAGTCTGGATGCACGCATATTGTCCTAAGACATTCGAAACTCGTGACCACTCGCGCTTGATGTTTCGCTCCAGTTCCCGACGTCTAACAGGTAAGTTTTTGAAAAGGTTTTCAATAGAAACAGTTGTTCCTTTCTGAGCAGCAACTATTTTTTTGCTGTCAAGTATTCCTGATGTCTTGAACTCAAGCCTGGTTGCTTTTGGGACGTCTTCAGCCAAACATGTCGTAACAGTGCAATTCGAAGATGCGCACAACGAAGATAAAGCTTCGCCTCGAAAACCATATGTGTTTAAGGTCGTAAGATCAGAATAAGCTGAAAGTTTGGACGTATGATGCTTCAATGCCAGTACCTCAAAATTATGTGGTGATATGCCTTCGCCATTATCTTGAACTTCAATTAAACTAAGTCCCTGGTTTTTGAACCTTACTTCTGTATACGGACAATATTGTTAGTAGCTTATTTCTCGTTCATGGATAGATCATACCAATACTTGTGGCTTCCGCATCAATACTGTTCTCAACAAGCTCTTTTACGACGGAACAAATGTCTACGATTACCTGTCCAGACTGAATTTGGTGAACCTATTATTTTTAGCGAGATTTGTGGCTTTCAGACACTCCATTACTCACTGTATGGCTGTTTATCGGTTTGATTGTAGCCATAGCACTCTTACAGAATAGTAGCTCAAGGTAGAGTTAAGTCATAATAGAAATGAATGGCAGATTACAAATAGTATTTTTATCTTTCAATAATTTCAAATGTTTTAAGCGCTTTAGCCATTATCATTGTTCAATCACAGTCTAGCTTTACAGGATTGTAGGTCCTTTCCACCTACGAGCTAAGAATACTTGAACGTTATAGAGTTTGTCATCTCAGCTCCCATCCAGCGTCACAACCCCCTAGGAGAATTCATTAGATCATATACTGGAGTATATCTTAGCATCAAACATTTTCCCTTTCTAAATAAATTAACGAAGATCATGTGTGGGTATGTAGCAGCCAGGGAGACTCACAAAAGCTATAAGGCATCAAGATCCCTTACTACACACATCAGGACTAATACCAAATATATTTACTCTTCTGTAATCTTTTAAGTAGCCAGCTAACTGGGGGATAGGTTCTTGTTTGCCCTTAAGCAAGTCAGTATCCGTCTTTTCAGCCTGCCTAGAAATCCTTCTGTTATTTATGCTATATGCTAGGTCAGAGATTGCGTTGAAGTATCAGACCAATCTTGAGAGAGAATTTGTCCAGCAAGAATGCCCATTCAAGCCAGTTCGTAATTTTGTATATGAGGAAAAGTCGCAGATCCATCAGATATAGAAGCCCACTTGGCTAGTATTGGGCTTTATTCAGCTCCGCGGCTCAACAATAGGAGATCAAAGTTGATACAGGTCACTGCCGTCAAATATTGAGTCTTCATCGCTTCTAGTTTCCTGCGCACACAAATTACGCTCAATTCAATTTAATCTCTCATTTTACTGTCCCATTTCTAGCACAAAAACCTTGAAATATCTTTGCCAACTACTTGAATTTCCTGATAGAAAGACCAAAAAATCAGTTTCTAAGGCCGAATTAGAGTGAACGAGAAAAAGCTCAAAGAATATAACATAGAATCACCTACCCTACAGCGCCTGGAGGGCAAAGTATAAAGGTTTGTACGAGGTATGCTCATTGAACATAGGCGTGAAATGCTATCTAGGGGCCAGTTTTCAGCTACAAAAAAGGGCATTTTTAAATGTTGTTGTCGGGCTGTTGATCATGAGAATGACTGGCAAGTTTTACTCGACAACTTGACGTGCAGACATTTTATCAGTGCACAAATCAAAGAATTTAAACATCTTTTCCCTAAACATCCACTCAAGGCAGGCTCAAACCTGTTGGGTATATGTATTTGAACATCAGTCATTCTTCAGCATGTCGAGATTTCCTAAAAAACCCTTCTTTGGTAACCTAATCCCACTATCTACTGAAGCCAATCCAAATCTAACTGTCAAATTTTCAATAGATAAAACGAGAAAACAATCCCTCCAATACTGCCGTGCGATGTAAATTTTGTCAAATAAAATATCATGACATCTAAATAAAGAATCACCTTATTAAAGATTGTAAATCTGTATGCAATTGAGTACAAGATTAAAGTGTCACTGGCTATATTCGAGTCATGCATATGTTATTAGATAGATTCCCATCTACCTATGCATAATTCCGTTAGCATTTGTAATTTGTATTTTGTCATTACAATCGAGTCACTTAATCTCCTACTAAATCGCATTAATTTTACTATGCTTGGTTATACTTTCCAATTATATTTGCAATTAAGGGAACAAACAGGAACAATTTCATCGCCATGTAGAGGATGAAAATACAAGATGTTAGCATAAATAATTGTAATTGTTGGGCTATATCTGAATTTTGGGAGGAAATTATGATAATCTAAAGATGTATTTAATAACTAAGATGGCATTCTCAGAAAGAACAATGAATTCAATCAACTCAGAGAAAGATTCACATTAGTATAACTTTGCCTCAAAGAGTTACTATCGAATTCTAAACCTAAAATTTAGCTATACCTTGATCAAGGGCACTGATATAAATTTTTTCTCCCAATTCAAACTATATCCCACAGTGCATCGTTCACAACCCTGTACACAGGAGCCACCAGCCTGTGCAATAGCCTGGGCTATTGCATCGTCATTGTCAACCCCCTCCAATACAGGAGGTCGGCTTCATCCAAACCTGCTTGGCAGTGACGCACGGACCATATTATTCTTGCAGGAGACATGTAACTGTGGTTAGATAGCTTTACTGTAAGGGCTTGAAGTAGAATTGTATTCGAGCTGTACTGTTTGCTGTGTATAGAAGATCTTAAACCAAAGAAAGAAGATGGAAGAGGAAAAGTTTTATATACAATGAAAGGTGGTCTGTGTTGTTACCAGACTATACCCAAAATAGAGCGACTAAACAGTCACCTGATTGGTAACAGCTCAGATCAGTAACCCAAGCCCAAGCCTTGGCTGCCTTAGGCTCTAGCCTATGACATTACCCTCTCTGTCCCATTTCTTAGCTTTTGCTCTAGCTTCGTAAGCATTCATAGCACTGGTCTCTTGACAATCATGTTGTGGGTGCCATGATGATTTGGCATAACCTGTCCACTTCACAAGCAACTCTTTCCTACTGCCCCTTCCAATCTTTCTATTTCTTGAGTCTAGAATCTCATCAACTCCAAATTCTACATCACCAGTACTTGTTAGCATTCCTGGAGGTTGAGAATCATCTGACTTCTGTGATGGAAGAGGATCATCATGGGCTGGTCTTAAGAGTGATGTGTGGAACTTATTATGAATACCTTTAGGAGTATCTAATTCATAAAAGTGAGCTGAGTCCGGAAATGTTCTAGTTATTTTGTACTTGGCATGTATCCAGTCAAGTTTCTTGGAGGGTCTCTCAGTGTTTATATTCTTTAAATTTAACCAGACCAGATCTCCAAGCTTATAAGTAGGTGCAGTATCTCTGGAATTGTTAGCATATTTTTCTTGAGGCTGCTGGGCAACTGCCATTGATGTCTGTGCAAACTGATGCGCCTCTGAGAGCTTCTCAATAATATCCTAACCTCTTGAAGCTGGTGTTCCTGGAGAAGAGGGATTATGATCTGATACTAAAGATATAGAGCTTGCATCATATCCATGGGTCATAAAAAACGGACTTATCTGAGTAGTGGTAGCTATTTTGTTATTGATAGATACCTGTGCTAGTGGGATCCAATCTTTCCAGTCTGACTGTTCATAAGCAATAAACGTTCTCAGATAAGTTTCTACCTCTTGATTTGCTCTCTCTGTTGAACCATCAGTTTCTGGATGATAGGCTGTTGATAGCCTCTGGTTGATCTTAAGTCTATGACATATAGTATTCCAGAATGCATTAACAAACCGAGGTCCTCTATCAGAAACAATTGCCCGAGGAATTCAATGGTGAGGCAAGTAGTACTGAAAAAATAATTTAGCCAGTCCCTCTGCATCAAACATATCTGGGGGAACTGGTATTAGGATTAACCCTCTGCTTAGTCTATCTGTAATGACCAAAAGAATAGTTGTCTTCTCAGGACCAGAGGGAGGAAGGCCTGTAATGAAATCCATAGATATTTCCTGCCATATCTGTGATGGAATTGGTAATGGTCTGAGCAAACCTTTTTTCTTGTCTCTCCAAATAGTGGTTCTGCCACAAATATCGCAATTTCTCACAAACCTCCTTACATCCTGGTTTGATCCTGGCCAAAAGAACTTCCTTGACACTAATGAAATTGTAGCATCTCTTCCTGGATGACCCGAGAGGAAAGAATCATGAATCTTTTGTATAACAGCTGTAGTCAAGGGCTCAAAGTTGGGTAGCCAAATTCTCTCCCTATAATACAGAATAATTTCGTTAGATATTGCACATTCCCCTGTAGAAATCCTTAGCTCGAGGTCAGAAGGAAAAAGTCTATCTTGATTTTTAACTGAGTTAAATGCTCTGGTGTATCTTTCAATAGGCTCTCCTGATTTTAAGGCTCGATTACACAAACTGCAAAGGTCTGCGTCATCTTGAAATGGGCAAGGTAAGTTAGTAGTGACCATAGACTTAATCCAAAGTTGAGGTGCTAGAAGGATGTTTTCCCTAGCAGCAATCCTAGAATCTGAAGCATCCTTTGGTATATCTTGCTCTCTTCTAGATAGTGCATAAGGTACAACGCTTGCCTTCCCTGGTCTATGTTTTAGTTTGAAGTTTAGAGGAGCAAGTACTTCCATCCACCTAATTTGTCTTTCATTTAATACCTTCTTTCTTTCAAATGGCTCCAGGTTTTTATGGTCTGTAAGAATGGTAAAGTGCTTCTTTAGCCCTCTAAGCTCGCTATTCCATTCCTTGATGCATTTAATGATGGCTAAGAGCTCCTTGTCATGAATATCATAATTGCACTCTACTGGGAGATGTTTTGCTGAATAAAATGCAACTGGTCTCCATAGTTTTGATACTGGATCAAGTTGTGTTAAGGTACCACCAATAGCCCACCCTGATGAGTCGGGCTCTAATTGTGTCTCTAGATCTGGATTAAAAGTAGCTAGAACTGGTTCTTCCTTGAAAAGATTCTTGATATGTTGAAAGGATTCCTCACAATCTTTTGTCCATTCAAACTTTTGATCCTTCCTGGTTAGATTTGTCAAAGGTCTGACAAGCTTTGCAAAGTCCTTGATGAAAAGCCTATAGGAATTTGCAAATCCTAGAAATGACCTTACCGATTTAACACTAGTAGGTGACTTCCATTCTGTTATTGCTTGCACCTTAGTTGGATCCATCTTGATGCCAGTTCCTGCTTCTATCACATAGCCGAGAAACTTAGTCTTTTTGGTCTCAAATTTGCACTTTGAGATATCTAAGTGTAAACCATTTTCCTGTAGGCTTGTTAGTACCTTAGCTACCTTCTCTCTATGGTCTTGAAGTGTTCCCGAGGTGAATATAAGGATATCATCCACGTAAGCTGAGCAGAAGTTGTCCAAATACTCTCTAAGGACCCAGTTTATATACCTCTGGAAGGTGGCAGGAGATCCAGTAAGTCCAAAAGGACAAACTTTCCACTCAAATAGGCCAGATCTTGTTCTAAATGCTGTCTTCCATTCTTCACCTTTAGCCA